TCTTAAACACCTTTTCATATAATTTCTTAAGCAAATTGCACATAAAGTTTTTTGCAAAGACTTTTAATGCAGCAGGAAACCGCACAAAGGAATTTCATTGTTTATTAATGCCAAGAAGCACTTGAATTTTATGAACGAACGTAAGTAGAGAGCATTTTATGTTCATCCCCCAAGTAACGCAACTTGCAATCTATAGCTTGAAACAACATAGCAAGACGGACAGACAAGCTTAGATCGGTAAAATAAAAGGTCCTTCTGGATGGACTGCATACATGCGCGCAATCTTAATATACCCTTGCACAGCAAGTGGGGTAAGGTATAAAGATTGTTCGATTAACGGAAAGCAAAGCCTGGTTATGAAAGCCATAACCAAGTAAAAAAAAACCTTATTAATGGCTACGAAATCTGCGTAGAAATGCACATAGAAGTCCCTCCGAATCAGATCTTTATCAGTCCAAATCCCTTTACACAGTCGTTCTTTAAGACTTTCTTCCAAATTTTATAAGTTACATTATGTCGTTACTTCCGCTCGATATTTTTACCAATAAATTAATCAATGTTCTTAAATTGGAAAGTAATACTAACCAAATCTACTATGGAATCTTGTTTCGAAGAAATCGGCAAAAACAAAACATAACAATGGAAGCCAAACAAAACGAACAGTAAATCCATGCATGGATGCATGGATGCATGGATGTACATCTAAGGTTACATGTGTATTAGGAAGCATTTTCGCTTATAAAAAATTAGCATAGCATCATATAAAGGGAAGAATTCATTAATGGGAAATTTAATTTGAATTTATTCCAGCGAAATGGGCGCCCGCGGCGATTAAACTAGAAACAGAGAGAAAATTCTTTATGATTTTTCCTTTGTTTTTCCAAACTAAATATTATCTTCAAAAGAACAGCATAAGTAAAACTGACTGAATGTAACTCTATACATGCTTGTGTTCGTAAGCAGCTACATAAATAGGAAATTCTGCTTTGTTTTCGTTAACATATGATAAAATTATTTGTTTAATAATATTATTTGCAACAAATTCTAGATAATTGAATGCAGAAGAATAAAATTGTTAACGTAAAGCATCGGGTTGAAGGGCAAGTTCTCGGTATTTGAAACGCAACACTTTCGACTAAACTTACGCAAAAAACAAGTAAGAACATTATAGGGCAAGGTCGACCATTAAATGCCCTACATCACATTATCTAACAGAATTCGTACATATTATAACTTCGACGATCAATTCACGTGGAAATCCTGATGAGGATTCCAAAAAACAGGTCAAGTACGATTAATTTTTTTTTGTCTTGAATTACTATTACGATCTGATTTTCATTATGAAGCATTGCATATGAATTTTATTTTTGGTTATAGGAGAGGGTGGTCAAAAACTTACTCCAGCCGATCCAAAGTTTCCACATTAATTTAGAATGCCGAAATATTACTACTTAGCACCTATGGCGAGCAATTTTGAAAATTGTAATTTTATTCCATATAAGGCCCTTTTTTGAAAAAGTGAACCGAGCCGAACGATTTCAACGATTTTCAATTGCCTTTGAAGCTTTGCGCCGAAGTACGCCGGCGCACCAAATTTCATCAAAATATCTCAAAAATTGAGACCTGCACCTTGAACACAAGGTGATCTATTTTAAGCACTAAAAGTCTATTTTAAGCATTTCTAGGCGTTACAAACTTAGTATATCCTCTACTACAAGTGGTGTAGGATACAAATTTCATATACTGATAGAAATTAGGGAACTTTTTACACATTAGGTGTGGCCGTAAGTCAAAGCAGATCACCAGAGCAAGTTTCAAAAGCAACCTTAACAGATTTATTTTAAAAGTTCGCGTTTTCCAAGATGCCTTTCGACAGTAAGTAAACGAAATTTGTGCTGAATCACCACTTAGATAAAGGGTCAAGCATTGAACGTCATGATGGCAGAAGATTCCTTTTTTTAACCCCAGTTCCATACAACACACATTTGCTCCATTTCCAGCACTTTTTTATTTTAGTAGTCTATTCTCCTTAATAATATTAAGCACCCGAATAGCGGCGCTCTAACTACGTATGTTTGAGGTTTTTGTGTACCCTGCACATAAAACGTTCTTAGCGTTGCATTACTACTTGCACGGATTTTTGCCTTCTAAAAGAAAGCTTTAAGTGACCATAGCAAATAGATTATCTGAACCAAGTGTAAAAAGCACAACGGTGCGTGTTTACTATGCGTTAAGGTATCATTGTCAGTATAACTTTTTCAGTATGCTTTTGAAGTGAAAACTCTGAAAAAGTCTGTTATGCATCTCCGTTTGATTATTCCATTCATTTTAAATTACTGAACAGATTGCCATTTAAAGTTAAATACACAAGAAAAAGTTTTTAAAGAGAACATAAAAAGTTTCGATTTTGTACTTAATTCTAAATCATTTTCAAACAGTGAAACGAATGTAATGTTCTGCGTCTTTTTGCTTTTGAATCAATGCCAATGGCATTGTATATATTCGAGCACATGCACACGTGTACACATGTGAAAGATAGGTAATTCCGTTCCACAGAATGGTATTTAATTCCCACCTAACCCGAACAAGAGATGCTTAAAATTCTCCACGTGCACGTACATCTTTATTCGTAACGACTTTCATCTCTGTATATATGTAAAAATAAATACAATTTTCCATACGTGCACACATACATAGTTAGAGGTATTTGCGAATATTACATTTTCTCGACATAATTGGATAATAAATTTGATTCGTTGTCAAAAATAGAAGATTTCATTATTTTTTATCATGTTTCTCGTCCAAGCAATATATTCCCATACGCAAACACACACACACACACACGCACGCACACTAATGCACATGGATAGAAAGCTTTTTATGTTCGCATTAATCCTTGGATACGCATTAACAACAGACGTACGTACGTATGAAATTTGCCTAATTGTAACGTGTTACCTACCGTTTTGACCGGCATCATAATCACCATACATTTTTAAGAATCTCTCAGGTCAAGATTTTGTATTTAAACCACAAATTGTCCAACACTCGCGACTTTATAAGCAATCGTATCACGACCGAGCTGAAGCCTTTTTTGTACTGATCTCGACATTAGTCTGAAGAAATGTTTGTGACCAGTCAATATCTTCTGTAAAGTTATACCTTTGTTTCAAGCACAATTTTAGGTGAATCAGACCAATAGAAACCTGGTAAATGTTTATTCAAAACTTTCTGTACTCGTCACCGAAGGCTGAGGGTATATTTATTTGGCCAAACCGTTTCAATACCCAGAAGGAAGCTTCAGATATCTGACAAAATGGATGTATTGTTGATCAGCATCAAATTCTGACTCGATTTAAAAACGCCCGCTTGTCGGTCTGTCCGTCTGTGCACTATCTGTTTTAATCATTCTGCTGGCCGCATAAATGATGCCATCGATTTCAAATTCGTTGAAAGTTTTTCTGCGCAAGTCTGTATTTAAAATCGTTCAAATCGGACAATGGCCACGCCAATATTATCAGATGACCTGAGGATATCCTTGTTTTTCAAAAGCAATATAAAATTGTTTTTTGCTCATTTAAGTTACAAAAGATAGGCCTACAAAAATTTTACCATATATCCTATGGGCAATGCTCTTGCACCTCTACAAAAATGGAAAGCATTGCGGCACGGCTTCCCCGTATTATAGTGTACCAGTACTTAATACCTACATAATACGCAGAAGCAAGTTTCAAGAATCCCATACTGTTTATGAGTCCTTGATCAGTATTAAATTCACATGTCCGTCCGTCCGTTTACGCAACTGGGCAATACCTTTGGTAAGCATTCTCCCATTCACAAAAAATACTGATATCGCCCACAAATTTTGCAGAACAATTTGAAAATGACCAAATCGGCCAAAGGACACTCAATTCAGTTCTTTTTCTTTTTTACGAAAGTGTAAAGATGGTATAAAAGATTCGGTCACGGGCGAATAGAATTTTCTTACTTGTTCATGTTTGACTTTGTGCAGCGGTATAAGTTGCCGTTTTTTTGCATCCATGCAGATTATTCCGATTAACATTGATTCTAAAATTTTCGAATTCTATCTGTCGTCTTAGGTTATTAGCCACATATCTCTTTCCTCGATGATTCGATGTCCGAAAGTGCTATCTGTTCCCGAGAGAATCTCACATTTCGCACTTTACGTGTAGTGAAATGACGAGCATTAGCCAAAATACTTACCTTAAACCTTCAATTCCTTGCCCGAAGCATTGGAAGCTATCAAATCCCCGCACTCTTATCTAATCAATGGTCGGCTCATTAAAGATGCTATAAGGCATTTTTATTTGGAGCAAATGCTTTCTAAATATATCTGCAATAGTGTATCCACAGACCAGACAATAGAATGAAACGTGCCAGCAGGGATTCGCTGGGCTTAGAGGTGGACCCTTTAAAGCACTTAGAGAAGATTATTTTCAGATAATGGATTCTTTTCCCACATATTGCAGGGCCTTTAAGACTCCTATATACAGAAAATCTACTGACATTCAAAACTTTTTCCTTTTTCACAATAATTTTTTTTTTCTTTTTGTCAAGTTTTGTTGAGATCAACATCTTGATAAGGCAAGAAATCAATATTATTCTTAAGGTAATGGTAAATAACAATAGAACAAGTACACAACTTGTTTACACTTGCATATACTATTTGGGAAGGGAAGATACAAAGAATAAGCTCAAAACAGAATATCTCCTCTAGTGTTTACAAATTTCAGTACTCGACAGATTAAATATATCTCGCGATTTGGTATTTCATCACAACGATATTTTACAGCAATTAAATATATCTTAAAGAATAATGCGATTGAAGAGTTCGCGTGTTGTTATAATACTTAAAACTCTGTTTTCTTATTTTGTTACACAAACAATAATTATTTATAAGAAACGTACACAGAATGTGCAATAAAATTTAAAAACCTTTCATTTATTTAAAGTCCTTTGGACATTTTTTTTATTTTTTTTTTTATTTTCATAACTTGAGCTTAATGAAAATGCATAGCGTAGTTTATGACATTAAGTGTTATAGTAGATGTTTTATTTAGTATGTGTGACATAAAAATATGTTTTTATTGTTTTAACTTCTTGCACAAACGCATTTCCTCATTATGTAAGACGTGGTGATGTGTGACGACTTAGTACACAAGATGAGACGAAGCGGGGAGTAATCGAAATTTTAAATTTTACACTCTTTACAAATCTAAAAATCCCTTCTTTCGGAAGGGTTGTGTCGCGTGTCGGGAAACCCAATTTTACACACAAGAATAATGCCTCGGCAGTGCGTAGGTTAGTTAAGCTAGACTTCTACAATTTAATAATACCTTTGGACGCCATCGTCTGCTGTGTCATTACTTTCACTTTGTAACTACACGTTGGTCTTCTTTTGTTTACGTAGACATTCCATCTGAAATCATATCCTTTCATAATCCTTGTGTTATGGCTTATGCAATTTTTATTCACAAAATTCGAAAACACTTTAATCGTTCTGATGCTTACGACAGGTTTCTTGATCCAATTCTTACGAAAATTTCAAAAGCCACAAATCAAAATGCCACACCTGTCCATATGTCTAATCCACATATCAAATGTGAAAATTGAAATGATTTCTTCACAAAGAAATTATTTTTCGCAGAGGTTTTTTTAGGGAGAGATAGGGAGAACGCCTTGAGAATTTTTTCAAAAACTGCATTTTTCATCAACTTAAAGCTTGCGTTCTCTTAACTGCTATTCGAAGCAGTCTAGCAAGACAACAACGCGAAAGTAAAAAACAAAAAATTGAACATAATCTTGTAAAATCTCTTCAAAAATTACATTAACAAGCGAAAATTCTATAGGAAAAATTAATTATATATATAAAGATCTGTCTCAGTGAACGTGCGGTATCAATGGTTGACGTGATTTCGACACACGATATACGAGATGCGTTGAAGAAAACAAGGCGAGTTTCCATTTTTCTGAACAAGTATTCCTTTATTCATCAACATCTGTTTTGTCCTTTCAATGTAAGGTCCGTTGTGCCTTTTCCTCGAAGCCCCTCTGACACGCATTTGGCCTCGACTTCTACCAGCTATGCGATCTTGGTCTGCCTAAACTTGAGGAAATTCCATCCTTTCATGGGTCTTGGGACAAAGGAAAAAATTGCATAGCACCAAGTCCGTGTTGTTTTTGGCCAATTTTAATAATTCCCGAACAAACTTCACTGCCATTTGTATTTTTATTGCATACGTTAATGGATATCTTGTAGTAGGATATCCTAAGTCGTATACAACTTATCGAGTCGAAGTTGAAAATGTTCATCTTATCTCAGAGAAGATCAAAGGACCCAGGCAAAAAGGCTTTGCCCCTGAAAGCCTGGATTCATATATATGTCTCTTAGGGTGTTTAAGAATTCGATTCATGACCTGTCCATCTGCTTTGACTGCTCTATTCACCTTACGTACTATTAACACTTACGCCATGCAAAAGTGCATGACGCCCAATGAGTCTTTTATTTATTAACAGTGAAATAACCATAAAACAATATTAACACATTTTCATATGGATGGATTCCTGAATATGCATGTTATGTAAATAAGTGAAACCGCGCAAAGAAAGTAAGATCGTTAGGCTCCCATGTTGTTCCCTTTCATATAAATATTTATGCATATGTATGCATATGTATGTATGTGTGTACGTATGCTCTTAATGTTTACCGGTTTTGATGTAAATAATTTGAAATCCTTTCGTAAAGCGCGCATGCTTTTCACATCTCATCTACTACTATAACAGTATGTTAACTATCATTCTCTCCTAACATCCTCTGGTAAAAATATTTAATAAAATCTACACTAATATGTGACATTTACAGCAGTTTATTAACAACCGTAAAAGCGTATTGAGATCAAAGCACAGCTGCCGTCCGTGTTTGTTTTCTTTAATTGTTGAATGAAAAAAAAAAAAAAATAAATAAATAAATAAAAAAATGTTCAGTTCTAATGGTGCCATTGGCGAGAACGCAATTAACTTCAATTAGTTTCATCATCACCATTGGTCTTAAAATAAATAAAAATAAATCAAAAAAGTAAAAATTTATGGAAAAAAAGGAAAATCATCAAATAATTCAATGTAAGGAAAAGTTCGTAAAAGTGTGAACATAGGCCTATCAGTTCACAGGCCTTATCCATGCATTCAAATAAACCGAAAAAAAACAACGTTTAAACGCACTATTGTTAGTTACCGTAGAGATGTGAATGCCACGAATACCAACGATACGTTTGTTTTCAAAGGAGAACAAGAGCATCGTCAAATTATTAGATAGCAGCCGCGATGCCAGACAACGTTTATAATTGAAAGTAACTGGATGTGAAGTGTTTTAATACCTGAATGAAAATTGCACAACTTTGAACATTGAAATTCAATACAATAATGACGTCTTGCCCCAACAATCATCGTCGTTGCAGTTATTCTTATTTTACTTTTATCTCATTTGTTTATATCGTAACGATACGATTTGGTTTTGCCTCGACTTCGCTGGACCCGATCAAAGAGGAAGTGAATCCAAGAATGTATAACGATTCTGAGCAAATCGAAATAAGTACAACTGTGTCGCCATCACTCAAACATTTGGCTCAATGCGGTAATACCCAAAGGATGGTAGACAACTGTTTTAGGGATTTACCGCCACATTTAATGGCGTTCCTGCAATCGAAGAAACCCGCTATTAACAAAAACGAAGTTCTATCCAAATGCAAGTAAGCACTGCTTGACCGTATATTCCCACAAAAGAAGTGTCGTTCAGTACATACATAGATTAGTTTGAAGGAAAATGCCAAGCGTATAATAAACATAGAAATAAAAAATGCTTTATCAGTTTAAATCTTTGCGTCTTTGCCATCTATTATTATCCCACACATATAAAGGCAAATCTTTAAATGGGTGTCGTTGTTATTGTCTTGGTTTTTAAAGACATCTGTCCTCGATTTTATTTTCAAAAAGAAATTCCGTTATACGAGTATTTTCACCGCGACCAGATTTGATCAAACGGATTCGATCAGTGCAATGCACGAGTTATATTTGCCTTCCAAGGCGACACTGCTGTAAGCCAATATACTTTACCTGTCCTTAAGGAAATGTCAGGTGCACTGGCGCTAAGAAACCTCTTCGCACTTACACATTGAGCTTGACAATATGAGCTATAGCACTACATTGCCGAAACAAGCCATTGTCAAGCGAGTCGGAAAACAAATAATCGCCGACAATTGATCTGTAATGATTACCATTATCCAGCGCGATTTTTCAAGAAGTAAGGATCGACGATGACTGCGACGTGTAATCCGCGCCGAAATTTTCTCTCTGAAGGTTACGTTGGAATCTCATAATTTTTTTCAGAATTGGTTTTAGTCAGTATAAGCCACCTGCACTTGTTGAATAACCTTTGAGTCAAAGATCGGTTCGAGTGAACTTCACAACCTACGCAAGTTGAGACGCGCCTTTCAAACAAAATTCGCACTATAAACTGAAAGACAGAAAACAATTTCATCTTTCGCGCACCCAAGATGATTGCCTACTTTGCCTATTTGCCTTGTTCGTGATACTCTTCGGTTGTTTTGATAGACAATGTTTGCCGACAATTCATAGCAAACTTTTGCGATTTAACAGACCCTTCCAGTAGTCGAACTGGTATTTCCACAGACCTGTTGTGGCGGATGGGCCAAACCCCATAGCGCCGGCAACTAGAAAAGAAAGCTTAATTAAATATCCACGCAGTTTTTAGGAAAACAAATTTTTCTTCTTCTTCTTGTTCTGTTATTCAGCAAATTGACAACCATAATCAGTTCTCTAGCCAGTCTACCCTTTTATTGCCATCAAAATAAATTTTTAATGTCCGTATTGCCTCAATTCAATTGCTCGGGGGAGAACATTTTATTTGAAAATCACAAAACTATCAAAAGCAAGAAGAAGCATAGATGAGAAATATGTTTACTCATTCATCTGGATTATTATGATTGGTTTTCAATATTTATTAAAAAAACTTATAGAGTTTTCGAACGTGGCATGGAGTGCTTCGATGAATACACAGCACGTTGCTTACCGCATACAAATTTAAATATTCTACAAAATAATGTCGAAGGAGCGAAACACTTCTTCAATAAATTTTGTGGGGATCGCGAGTTTCAATCAAGTGAGTATATATACACACATTGCTACCTGTCCATATACACGCATATCACACACACGTCCCTAAGCACATTGCATACATAAATGTACAAAAGAACACAACCCATCTCATCTGATTAAACAAATCCGAAACAGAAATCAATTATGACATTAAATTTTCGTCCATATCTTCATTCGAGATAAAGTGTTTAACTGAATGAATTTTGATTCATTCATTTATTGTTGTAAATTGAGGATCGTGTCGTTAGCAAATTTTGTCTCCTAAGGAGAGTTTTTGTAAAAAACCCAAACCTATCATTACACTTATTACCCCTTTTTATACCCATCACCTAGAAATATTTGTACAATCGAAAATTCATTTTGTCAAAACGCCTGCAACACTCGAAAGATAGCGCGGGAGATAGCGTAAATGATACGTATTTGATAAATATAACCTTGCGAATCGATTTAAGCAAGTACATCTGCCCGCCTGCGGTGATCACTTCCCTAGCCGCAAAAGTGAATTTATCGGCTTCAAAATCACGAAAAACGTTCGAATTTCTTTGTTGCAGATTGGTATTGAAATCGGGGCAATTCAATCGAAAGACACGCCTACATTGCAACACTAACTAAGAACATCTCTCCTTTCCGCGCCTTCTGCTTATCACTCAGAAACTACAGCAGAAACTCGATAAAAATTTCCATCTATATCCAATACGCCACGCCTATCGAATATTATAGAGTATGAAATTTTAATATATTCGTTTCCTTTTTCTTTAATCTTTTTAAGGCAAAAAGGGTGCATGTGTATGAAATGCTTGGACTTGCCTCACGCCTTACCTGTTTTTATTGTTTTTTCTACATAAGTAAATTCCTTAACAAACTCAAACTATGGGAAGCTTTCAGATAAGTTAATAAAATTTGCGATCGTAGTGCCCTGACCCTGAGTCAATCTTTAGAACTCTACATAAATAAAAACGATTCTGCCCTGCCTCAGTGTCTGTCGTCTATTTATTGGCTTTAAGCTCAAGTATGATCGTAAATAACTCGCTTGCCCTTTGTCTAAAATCAAATAATGTTGTTCTACAAATTCGCTTCCAGTTTGCAGAGGCGTCATTGTCTAATGATTTTTACGAGACCTGATAATCACTAAGTGCGCTCTGTGGGCATAGGATAATAGCAACATTTGTTTTCATTGTACACAACTACCGCCGCACTTGCTACGTTAGGTATCTCAAGCCTCGATGCTTTTACATTAAATGCAAGCCTCCTTGCTTTCCATATAAAATGTAATTTATGCTTGGATTTTAAATCTGTCTGTATACTTCTGTCTAAATTTCAATTATAAATTAATTTCACTGTCATCGATTTCTTGTTGAAAGTGCATTTATTACTGCTCTTAATCATCCCTAAAGCATTATTGCTTATTATGGGAAAGATGGGTTTCATAAGGCTAATGTATGTGCAAAAGTCAAATAAATATTAAAAAATATCAACTCAAGTAAATCGATGTAATTACGCAAACGTTTTATGTGAAATAGTTAATTCTTTTCGTCAGTTTTATGTAACGGTGCACTCATCTCAGGTTGAAGTTATGACACTCCTTCCTGCTTTAACTAAAGACAAAAAGTGCTCTTGAAAGAAAGCGTTATAATGTCGAAATTAATAGAGCGAAATAGAAAGAAAAAATATTCGTAGTCATAACTTTTGTCACTTACTTTCTTTTGTTCTTACTCTCTCTCTCTCTCTCTCTCGCGGAAAGCGGAAGTCTAAGCCAAGACTGCACTAACTTAAGATATAAAACTGATATTTCACGGACGTCTACCATTCAGAACATTCGGAAAAATGGGAAATTTTAAAGCACTTTCATCGACAATTGATAATTGATGCAGTAAAAATACTTCAAATGATCGCATTAACGACTCACTTATGGGACCAGTCGCCTAAGGGAAAAAACTCCGTACGAGTATTTTTTTATCCCTGAAAAATGACTTTTTTTTTTTTTCAAGTAATCAGTCAGAAAAAGAATGCGGATCTATACGGATTAAGGAGAGTTACAGAAGCAATGGAGAGCCCATAGGAGGAGTAGGAGTTGCATATATATTTGTTCTTTCTAAATAATGTCGTTTTACTGACATGTTCTCATTAACCGATTGCACATAGGCATGATAAAGAAGAAGCACAGACGCACCAAACCTAACCGATAGGTGCTGCTCTTCGCCTATTAATGTTAACCTCCTGGAAAAGAGTCTTTGCACTATCATTTTTGCTCAGAGGGAACTATGGTTTGCAACTCTCCTAAGAACTGTGAATGATAAAAAGAAACAAATAAGAACATTATAGTCAGGCAAGGCCGACCATTAAATACCCTACCCCACATTGTCTAACACAATTCTTATTTTTGTATGAAGCTACTGTTATGGGCCAATTTTCATCACCGCGCACATTAAAACCTAAACTTTTCTTCCCCGCAAATGATCAATTTTCATGAAATTTCTTACTAAGCTAGGATTCAAAAAATAGGCCGAGACTGTCCAAATTTGGTATAGTCAAGTATATAGCACTTAGAAGCATCGAAAATTGCACCTTTTTGTCGTCTGAACATCTGTTTTCGTTATATGAGAAGGGTTTCAAAAATTGCCACAGCCGGTTCAAACTTTTCTTACCCAAATACTACTACTTAGCCACTTTTGCTGAGAGATTTTGAAAATTTGCAAATTTTTTCCATACAACGACTTTTCAGAATAGAGCGTTGTATGGGGATTAGTTGCCGAACCATTTCGAATAGCAATCGTCCTTAACAAATTTCATCGAAATATCTCAAAAATTGTGATCTGTAGCTTGAACAAAAATTTACATGGACAGTCATCAGACGGACAGTTGAACAGACATGTTTAGATCAGTTCAGATTATGATTCTGAGTGGATCGAAATAATAAAAGGTGGATCTATCTTAAGCCCTTCTCCGTGTTATATACAAGCGCACTAACTTAAGGTATCACAAGTGGTGTAGGGTATAATGATGTACATTAGGCGTATAATTCGATAAGAATAACGGGAATGACAAGTAAGAGAAAAGGTGTGATCTTTAATAGATTAGGTGTGTAAATGAATTCCTCCGGTTGAGTTTGGTTGTTTCATAAAACGTGTCCGTCGCGCTCAATTATCGCGAAATTTCGGGTAAAGGTAACTCAGATATTGATATTTAAACGATATAAGTCTCATTTGTTTACAAACTGCCGATTAGCGTATATCAAACTGCGTAGAGATGGATGCCATTTATGGAACCAAATTTTCTCTGTTTTTAACGTGAAAAAATGCTGCTTAAGCTACAAAGGTAATTGAATTTGCTTGGAGTGAAAACGCAGTAAGTTGTAAAACTGTTAGAGAATGGTTTGCGGGATTTCGGACAATATTTGTTTGTCTTGAATTCGATGAAATTCACGTACGTCCGTCCGTCTGCAGCCAAGAAACCAAGAAATTTATTTTCAACTTAGGCTGGGAAGTATTACTGCCCTGCTCATATTCTCCGGACCTAGCCCCTTCCGATTGCCGCTTATTCAGGTCGATGCAATAATATTTAGAAGGATAGCGGTTCACAGGTAATGGTAGTGCATATTTTGATTATTATGCTTCGTCACAAGCGTAGTATAAATAAAATTGAATTTTAACAAAAAGCGGAATGGATTTATTTACACATCCAGCACACAGCTCTATGAACCTATTTCGTTAGTTTGATTTCCACATCAAAAATAAATAAATAAATAAAAATTTAAAACACAGAGTTTACCCAAAAAATTGATATTCGAATAGCGCCCAATCTACCCACTTATAATCAGTTAAATCGATTTCCCTCTCAACCCTGACAATATTGTAAGTTTTGTTTATAATACATTTTCTTAATTTTCTCAAAACAACTTCTTTGCAAGTGTAAAACATGTTATCTTTTTTTACAAAACAAAAGAATCACCAACAAGACATGTAAGATAATGATATTCGGTAGTGTACGAATCCCTTATGCTTTTCTTCTCCTTTTCATGGAAGAAACACAAAAAAAAAAAAAAAAAAAACAAATGAAATTTTGATAGTCTACAGTGTTGGGCAAGCGTAGCCGACTTTTCAAATTATTTGCCTTATCGTTAGATTCGCTGTAGTCCACAAGCAACGAACAAAAACGCCCGTTTCTTTGCTATTGAAAACAAATATGTTCTTAGCTTATATTGCGCTGTGGGCGTATCCTGTGTTCAATTTTTTGCATTTTCAACATCAGCGTGCCTGCCAATGCTTTTGCCAAATTTAAAACCGAAATTGTTATTTTTGCAACCGGAAGAATGTTTACCATAGAAGGACGGACTGACGGACAGACGGACACGCTTAAATCGATTCAAAATGTAATGCTGACGCAGAATATACTTTATGGGATCTCTGAAGCGGAACACCTTCTGGATGCTGCATATATGAATAAATGGTATCTCCTCGTTCTTCGTTGGCAGCCATAAAAACTTGTCATTCAATTTTGCAAACATCTAAAGTTTTTATGGTTTTGAAAAGTAATGAAATTAGTAGGACAGAGGAACTTCCTCGTGCTATCGCTTTATTAAAGCTGGATAAACGTAACAAAAATACGGAGAGAGCAAATAATGTTCCTGGTCATGATACTATCGGTATTGCGTCACGTAATCTAATAAATTCCTGCGTCGAAGTAGTTCACGTCACGGTTGCACATTAATTCTTAATAGTCTTCGATTTATAAGCAAAGACGTTATGTTCGGCGAGCATACGTTCTTCTTTTATACAGATATATTTGCTTATATATATATATATAGTCTTATAATTTATTCTAAGATAACAAGCAAATGTTATATTATATATGTGCATATGATGGCTTTGAAGTAACTTGTAAACAGTATCGGGAGACTTTACTTAAAGAAATACAAGGTGTGGGAAGTATTGTGCCGGTCATTAAAAGTCGTCTATCCTGTTCGGCCATATTCGATTTCATGGATTATTTGGTAGAAAGCATCTCTTATGAAAGGCGAAAATACGATCGTATTAACAGTTCAGTATGTTTTTATATGTGCTTGATATGTGCTTGGTAAGCTATAGCAAATAAAAGAGTTTTTTGTCTCCCAACGGATGTTGTTTATTTTAATAGGCAAGAGTCATTGAGTTAGCTTAAGAAACAAAAATAATTTAATTGCTGGATCCGGCACGCGATGCCTTATCAGTCTTCTTAGGGCATTGCTTTCATCTCGAAAAAACATTATTTATTTTTTTAGTCAGCTTTATTTAGTCAGATTGTCGTTGACGTTTTGAATAAATGCGCTGAGTTTGATTTTGAGGCATGGGTCGTTAACCATTAGACGCAGATTCGCACATTGATATTTTGATTGGCATTTGATAGAACGTCCGTGAAGAATGTACCTTTTCAATTCAATTTGTCACCAATACTTAATTGAAGCGAGGAGAATAGGCAGTGTGGGCTATTTCGAGAAAGTCTTCTTGACATCCAATGTTTACCACCCACAGGAGTTTGGACAAGCAAATCTTCTAAAAAAATATATTTTATACATTTATACCCACCACCGAAGGATGAGGCGAATGAAAGAAGCTTTAGACACCTCACAAAGTATATATATCCGTCCCTCTGTCTGTCTGTCTGTCTGCCCGTGCAATATCAGCCGTAAACATTCTCCGAGCCGAAAAAATTCAAATGTGGTTGGTATTGAAAATGGATCAAATTGGTCGGAGCAGCTGTCCCTAGTGGAGCGTAAACTGAGCGCAAACTAAACTTTTTTTAAAAAAAATTTTTGGATTTTTGCTCGTTACACTCAAGTAATCAAAGTTAGAACCTTGACATTTTCTACATTTACTTTACGAAACCGTCCACTCTTTAGGTCCGAAAATGGAACCAATGACCATGCCCACACAAAATTTCAAGTAATTAAATTTTATTTTGCTTCACTTTCCAAAGGTTTTTTACTTATTTATTACAAGGCAAACAAGGCGGAATGTTTAAAACTATTTTGTACACTCCTTAGGGGAAGATATATTATCTGCTTAAAAGTGGGTTGATTTTAAAATGAGTATGGCAGACACCGCGATCACTTGCTTCTTAATAATACCAACGATAAGGGTATCATAAATAAAAGAACGCGGAGAGCAGAATGCGAAAAACATAGTGGCGGGTAGACGAGATTCGGCCCCTGCCGAATATAACTTTCTTACTTGTTTTTGTTTTTAATGAATTAATAAAAAATGCTTTTAGATATGTCAACAAAAGCGCTAAGGCATGTAAAAGAATTTTTCTAGTGCACTAATTGGTCTCTTGTAAGGACATATAGCAAAACGCCACTTCATTTCAGACTTTCAAGACAGCATTAGCCTGGAGAGAATACAAAAGCAAAATTTAAGATTACGTTTAGTGTATCCGATAGAGCTACGATTGTAATTGGCAGACAGCATAGGGACATTCGCACAAAGCACATTGCAGCACGTTGAAGTTTTTCGTTTTTTTCGTTTCTTTTACTCGTTTCTATAACTTTCAAATGCAAATGCTTCGTCAGATTAGGCATAGTCCCAAAGGATAAGCATTTATAAAACAAAAAATAAGCAGCTTACGAACAAATTTCAAAACTTTTCCCCGATTATCTAATAGTTGCAAACAAGTACAAGTGCATAAGTCGGAACATATATACGTAATAAGCAAACCCAATACCGTATGCATAGAAATTGCTAAGGACAGGTGCACAACGGTCTTGGATGTAGATTCGCTTCATAAATTAAAACCACACAAGTTAAATAGCACAACAATCTGGTTTTGTCTCTCTTTCCTAGTAAATGTCAATTTTATATATTATTTGGGAATATGATTGGTATATGGATGTAAAGCAACAATGCTAATACTGGTGATATAAATACAAATGCATTTTATCCTCATAATCGTCTGTCTATGAAAAGATTTGTGTAAACAAGCAAAGTACGTGTTTGTGGTGTTTTCTTATTTCAGATTATTTAAAGCACAAGGATTGTCTCTCTTATATACAGGACGATTGGATGCGTTGCACAAAAAGTTTTCAAATTATTCTCACCGAGGAGTTGTATATGGAAAATAAAAATGTTACACAAAAATTTATGGAATTTTGTTGGTAAGTTGGTATGTGTGTACATACGACAGTTGCTTAATAAACATGAGTACATGATACCACTACAATGTACAATGAATTTTAAGTATTTTCAATTAAATTTACCCATCTTTTCAAATATTACACAGCACAGCAGAAAAGCTCCATAACTCCGATCAAAGTTCTTATCCTATTCTCTTCATAACATATTTCATATCTTCCCATCTCATTCATAAGCACCGCTATACCAAATTCGAATTTACTAAAATGTTTGCAACTGTTTACCGACCCACGCCAACAGTCAGCGAAGTTTGCAAACTAGATTCACCTTAAAAATACATCGATAGATTAACTATTACTATAACTAACGATTAACTAAGAATGAATATATTTATGCAAGTCGCTTAGCTTCCTTCTAGCAATTCAACTTTCGAAAATCTTTAAAGATTGCTCGTTGTATTAATTAAGCATTTGCTAAAATTGGATAGAATTTTGGAACGTTACATATAATCGTTTCTACTACGTGCCACTGCATTCACTATTATCACTCACTTCCCTATATAATTAAATATCTTTCATTTACGTGAAACATTCCTAACAAAATCCTAAATAGGACTATGCTACCATGCAAGGATGAAGGAGGGACAGTGATTTCAATATGTCAAGTACATTTCTAGGTTAGCATTAGATGAAACTGGCAGACCTGAATACCAGAATATCAGATTTATATGAAATTTCCTGCTATTTGCTAAGTTTCCTTTTTTGACTTTCGATAAATGGTAATGTTCAAAGAAGAAAAATGAAAAGAATTTTCGACTAACCAATTGAAATTTCGTGCGCAATGACAATTCATTAAAACAAAGCAAACCGTTACCCAAATAGATAGCTATATTTTCTCTTCAAATGCAACCACGTTTTGGTCACAGTCTGTTTTGACCAAAGGCAACTCTATCATCTAGCAGTTAAATGGCAACGAAAGCTAATTAGTTATTGCTAAGGTGCACATACTTATTAAATGGACCTCGTACCGTGTCGGTGTATTCAATATTTGTGGTTTAATTACTCTAACCAAATGAGAAAGCATTTCAAGTTGTACTGAATGCACAAATGCTCTTATATATGCGAACACACATTGGTTTTACAATTAATTAAAACGGTGGCTTGTTCATTACACGTATACCTTTAAACATCTTACACTTAAACACTTACGTAAACCGCACAATTTTGTATTAATAGAGTTTTTTTCTTTGCCTCTCTCTCTTTCTCTCTCTCTTCATATGTCATTAGTGCGCGACATGCTTATGAGACATGCATTTACAATAGCGCCCGGTACAAGTGCTATAAACATTCAGCCAAATTTGCCCGTGAGGCAGCGAAAATGCTAACGGATGAGAAACACTTCAGCAATTGTCGCCAATACGAGGCAATAATGTGTAACGGAAGAGCTTCTCTTCATCGACAATATTGGCAACATTGTTGGCACTGCTGGCTGATGCTGCTGGTCTTATGTCGTCTTTTTCTACCAACCTACCGGCTGATAACCCACTAATTGAATTTATAATGAATGCACTGCACTGGCATTTATGTGAAACAATGATAAAATTCAATGTCTTATTTTACACGTGTGCGAATATATGTGCATCTATCCACGTGTATATACGGGTGTGTGTGTATGTGTGTGTGGACGCAAAAACCTTTTGTAAGAAATTAAATACGACATAAAAGCAAAAGAAAATTATGTTAAAATCTAAAAAAAAAAAAATCTTGCATTATGCAACAAGTCGCTTGGGGTTAAAAAAGTAACTCAATAATATAATTGGTTTCATTTAACTCAATTATCATCACAGCCTGAATGTATGCTAAGTTTGACGATTCTTTTATAACAACCGAAAGTATGCATCAAAATAACGTTTAAATTATCGTAACTAGAATTTTTTAATCGTGATTGCCCAAAAATGATGGTCTGTCCGTCCGTCCATTTGTTCGAATTTTAAGATTTGTTCACAATCATAATTTTCATGTCTCATTACTGTTTAAATTGTTAAACATACACAGGATGCAAGTCATAATTGATTGACAACATAGTTTAGCACGGGTGCAACGTCCGCACCCAGCAACCGGTTTACACAATTTATATCATTTGTCGTTTTAAGAGGATACCATACTACTCTTCTTTTGCAAAATTTTCAACAATGTCCCTGCGAAATGCTTTTAGATGCATAGAAGGTTAAGTAAATTAATCGGTCGACATTACTTGCCATTATTCGGAGAAGTTCCAACGACTCATCAGTTAGAACTTAATGGCCTATTCAATCAAAAGTCAATTACCTTTCGGTCGTTATTGAACCGAATATAAAAATTCACGTTCACACGTGCACATCCTCGTCTCAGTTACGGACAAAATAAATTTGAATATTCTCTTCATATACATTTGTACATACCGTGTAGTGTTAAACATCAAACTATTCGTCTCAAGCCGATTAAGATTCTCTTTTATGTGTATTGCTTTGATGTATTTCTAAAAAAAAAAAGTTTATTATTATAGAAAAGACGCTATTAACTATGCATATATTACTTATTGTATATGTATATAGAAGGTATGCAACGTGCTTGCAACTAATTGTAAGAAAGTAAGGCGATTCTTTTTGATAATAACCAGTGTAGAGGTCTGAAGAAGAAATTTAAAAAAACGATTTTTTTTAAATGATTAAATATTAAGTTTAAAAATTATTTTAATTTTCCATAGTCTATGATCCAAATATTTTATCTACGAATAGGTTACAAATATTTTTTAGAATATATTTATATGTGTGCTTGGTAAAGGCTCCTCTGTTAAGGTGCGTAGACCGATACTTTATATTATATGATAGTAGGAAAAATTTATGCCTATCTTTCTATTCCCAATATCTCCTATGTATCGTAACTTCAACTGTTTGTCTATTACAGGCGCACTCTCAATGCAACCGTGGTAAATACTTTCTTCTTACTTTAAGTTAATCTCTCCCATCTTCTCGGTTAAATGCTATAGATTAGTAAATTGGCGATATACTGAGATCGCTTACCGAAAGGTCAGGTGAGGTAAGCGTTAAAACGCAGCAAATGCCAGATGGGACGGAAGAACCGGCGGGCGGTGAGTGTTAAATCGACTAGGAACTTTACGTTGAAGCAGGACTAGACGCATTTTTTGAGTCGGCGTTGCACTCAGGGAGAAATATCTGTTATACCCTATCCTTTTAGTGGAGAATATAAACAAGCAAGAAAATTATTTTCGGCTTGGGGCTGGGATTCTTCTGCATATATCGCAACTTTATGTAATAAAAACATTAAAATAATTTAATGTAGAGTTTACAATAAAGCCGACGGCCTTCAGATGCTTGTGCTCTAAGACTTTTGTCTACGAATTTATGCTCTGGCTAAATTAATAATAATAACAATAGTAATATACTGTAGGATCAATTATAGAGTGTACATGGTAATTTTTATCGTTTTATCCGTTGTAACTTATGAAAAATGAGTGAAACCTCCCGAAAGCAGAAGCGTTCTCAATTTACATTTCTCTGCAGGCGTGTTATTTAATCAATTCGATACTTTTTTCGTACTAACCGTCCTGCAAGTCCCTCCAATGTTTTCGCTAAATTTACAGTACATATCGTAGGTTTTGCAGCCAGAGGCATTATGTAGGCGAGTAGGTGGACAGACGGACATGCTTCTGTCAAATCAGTATTTTATATTGATCAACTATACTACACTTAGTATGCAGTATAACGTCTCTGAAATTTCCTTCTGTAACTTCCTTCCAATAATAGCATCTGACTTCAGTTCACTCACTCCTACCGCACATGCATTGAAATTTTCAATTTTCTACAAAAATCTTCCGAAGATCTCAATTGAAACTCATATCTAAAGAATAAACCAGCAAAGATGGCATTTCGTCATGAGTTTTATTAACAAAAATCGATCATTATATCCTTATTAAATAGTTTTTTAATTATAGTTTTGTAATCGAGAAAAATATCCAACGTTTTCATACCTGTGTACTTTGGTTTAATATTTGTACGGTTGTAACAATGAAGTAATTTCATTGACTATTGCACTTAACTTATAAAAATCAAGCACTTAGTTTCGTGTGTGTTTGTGTGTATGTTTTTAATTAAAATAAATTTAAAAAAAAAAAAATTTTAAAAATAAAAATGTTTCTGTCATTTCCTTACGCATACTTGGGCTTTTCTTCATGCAATAAATGTTAAACATTCTTCGTGCAGGTGGGTATTAGTGTTAAGCTTCTCCCTTTCTTCCAATTGCTTCACAAATAATTTAATTATATTTCTGTAGAAAAGTTACACACAACGTTGCGTCATAAAGCAAAATTTTTTATATTGTTATTTTTCTTCAGCATCTTAAGGGATAATACCATATAGTTTGCTCTAAAAATGGAATAATTGTTTTAAAAATTCGTCTACAAAAAAAAACATAGGTAAAAATATTTTATTCGAATGTGGCTCATCATTAAATGCCTTATATTGCTTGACCTTATAGCATTTTTCATTTATTTTCCCCGTTACATACCAAAAACTAGACTTTTTGACCTCACATAAGGACCTATTTTAAGAATAAGAATCCATTCAAATCCCTCCCATTAAAAACAAAAGTCACTGCTTACATCAATTTCTTATCTATCGCAGATATTAATGAAAATATATGCGAAGACCTTCTAAACTTTTACTGGGAAAATTGTCGATCCGTTAACACTCACCCCGACAAGAATCATGTAAGAAGTTAATATAAAAACGAACAAGAGAAACATTTGGGATGTGGTTCTCTACACATATAAATTTGTCATGTGTCTTTTTGTATAGTTGGAACTGTGGTCATGTTAAGCTTAGGTGAGATTATTACTTGACACGACTTAAGGAAAACGAATGCATGTTTTTGTTTTCTACTTCACAGAGATAAAATGAGAAAATTTGTTGCCTACTTTTAAAGGCCCCATTTAGGATAACTTAGGTTTAATGGGTTTTCCCAGCTTCAACTCCAAATCTTCACATTCAAATGTACAAAAGAGTTAGAATTAAGGGAACAAAACCTATTGAAAACAACTTAAAAACTATATTTCTCTTGATTTTATTTATCCATAATCTGAGACCAAAAGTAACGTAAGTAAGTACAAGTATTTTTGTGCAAGGGATGTGCTTACATCTTTTCAAGTCAGCAATAGGTACCGACGTCCTTTTACAAATAATAAATATTCACTATGGATTAGAGAAACAGACCGGAGGGACGCAAAGGCGTTATGTAGAATAGAATAGAGATTTTGCATATACGACTGTCTGCTATACCATCAACAAGTGTTAAATAAGCGAAATTGATAAACGGAAAAAGTATTTGAATAGCAATCTTTTCTTGCATTCAAAGTGTCGAATTTTATACTAAAGTTGTTTTTGGATCGTACCATTACTAGGGATGAAAAATTGATTTTTATTTTGAGAACCCAAAGAACAAAAGGTCATGGGTAGACCCAAGCGCATTATCCAGAGCGACTGCAAAAGGTGCTCGCTTCAACAAGAAGACGATGCTCTCTGCTTGACGATGCTCTTAAAGCCGCTCGCTATCTAGAAAACGACCAAAATATCAAAAGGAGCAACAAAAGATCATTTTTTTACATGACATTCATTCATCGAACCATATTGGAAAATCGTTTTGCGACAGGCTGGAAACACTCATCTGGTCACGTTGCTTTTGTCTCCCGACTTGGTTCCTTCCGATTATCATTTGTTTGCTGGACTTACTCATGCGAAGATGCTACAAGAATGACTCGATGAATACTTCGCAGCAAAGGGGAAAATTCTCACTGACGTGGTATCTACAAATTGCCTGAAAAATGGGGAACATGTATATCTAGCGACACTTTGAAAAGACCATTTTTTATTTGTCTTCCGAATTTAACGTGTTTTCCCCGTTTTTCGTTTAGTTGCGTCTTCTTGTAAACCTTCAAATGCTTATGAATGCCTATAAAGTCTAGGTATAGCTGATGTTTAGAATAGGACATAGAGAAAACTGGGTAACCTTTAAATTGAAAAATGTTTACAAACTGATTAGGATCGTAAATGCAAAAGCAAATCTATAGACAGACACGACAAATCTATGTCAAATATTTTCGGCACTATATCCTAGGGATTGAGACTAAGGCATTAAGAAAGCTTGATCATAATTTCATTTGTTTCTGAGCTTGCTTTCTTACTTTCTTTTCTTTCCTTTTCTTCTATTTCTCACGTTTAATGCTAACGACTTCCTAGTCTTGTCTGACAAATCAACTCGTACAGAACAAAACACGAAACTTGTCTTCTATTGTCTAGAATTTAGAAACAGTTGCATAGGTTCACTTATATTGAAATACCGTCTTCCTCACCCAAGGGTTCTTAGAACAGCAATTAAATAACATTTTGAGTGAAATATTATCGTAAAATTGCTTTCTTTAAATTAATTTAACTAATTTTTTTATTTTAGTTGTTAAACGGTAAACCTAAATATATATAAATAGTTTCCATATACGTACAACTTTCAGGTTTTGTCTTTAAAAGTGAATTAAAAAATATAATAAATATTTAAATCCAATGCGATGATGATTTTAAATACTTTTCAGTTTTCGAAATTTTATCAAGTTTGCCTTAACAAGTCATTCATTACATATAAAAGTCGCGATATTTTTGTCCCCATTCCAAAGCATATTCGTAACCTAGAAACGTGGCCGCATTTACAGGTATCGCACGAACTACTAACATCCAACTGCCCCGGAACAAGCTCCGCATACCATAACGCTTTGAATTAAAAAAAAAATAGAAACAAATAAAAAGTAAAATTAACGGCCAACACGTTTTGTACTTGCATTGTAATGCTACTCGAATTACTTACCCGAAAATTTACTACCAAGCAATGACGAGTAGAACGATATTGACGATTTTCTTCGGCCTGCATTATTGTCTTGACCACATCGAACGGTATAACACATACCCAGGAGAGTATACCGGCCCAAGCTCCAGCCAATGTGGTAACAATTAGATCCACTTGCGACTCGTCTTTTTTGCGACCTTCACGACGTTGTTGGACAAACGGTGTACTGTCTAAAAATTTTGTTGTGTGACGATAGGCGAGCATATAAATGCCGTAAGGGAAAACATCACTACAACGCATACAATGATGGACATCAAATTTTATTAAAAACAAGTAAGAAAGTTATATTCGGCGGGGGCCGAATCTCGCATACCCACCACTATGTTTTCCTCATTCTACTCTTCAAATTCTTTTATTTGATACCCATATCGATGGTATTATTACAAAGCAAGTGATCGTGGTGTGTGGCATATTCATATTAAGCAGATAATATATCCTCACCTAAAGAGTGTACAAAATAGTTTTAAACATTCGGTCTTGTTTGCCTTGTGATAAATCAGCATAAAACCTCAAAAACGTGAAACAAAATAAAATTTAATTACTTGAAATTTTGTGTGGGCATGGCCGATTGGTTCTATTTTTGGACCTAGAGAGTAGCGGTTTCGTAAAGTAAATGTAGAAAATTTCAGAGTCACGAGCGAGAATCCAAAAATTTTTGTTAAAAAAAGTTGAGTTTGCGCTCAGTTTACGCTCCACTGGGGGCGCCTGTTCCGACCAATTTGGCCCATTTTTAATACCAACCTGCGTGCAAGAATTTCCAATGTTTCTACCAAATTTGAAGTCGATATCTTCATTTGTTCGACCAGAAGAGTGTCTACAACACACACCACACAGACGGACGGACATGGCTAAATCAGCTCAGAATTTGTCTACTTTATAAGGTCTCTGAAGCTTCCTTTTGGGTGTCACATACATAATGGAAGAAAACAACACGAGTATACCCCCATCCTATATTGGTGGGCATAAAACGAAAAAAAATTTATAAACTCAAGCAAAATCTTTTAATTACCGACACATCATTGGCAATAAGCCTCTATATATACCCGATATACCGTCGCTTTTCAAGATTCTTTTGAATGTGTTAAACGGTGTTCGCCGTTGCCCCATCACGTATTCATTGTAATCTAAAATTAAGAAAGATGATTTTCAAGTCATTCAAGAGCGCGTCAAAGGATTAAAGCGGTTTAGAGATACCTACAGAATTGTGTCTGTAATCGTACTTTCACCAATTCAATTGGACAGGCTATGAATGATTGCACAAACCCGGCTATGGAGCCAGCAAGAAACATGTGTTTGTATTCCAATTGTTCACGCTGATAGTCACTGTGACAGACTCGCCTCAGTTGACGCATATGATTTCCATAGACACCAAACAGTATTGAGTTGATGGCACCAGTGGTAACAAACGGAAAGAACATGCCACGATAGAAGCCTTTAATCTTAATTTAAAAGCATTAGGTCCTTTTTTCAGCATTTAAAATGTCTTAAATGTTAGGCGTATAACAAATCCCCTACAAGGGCTGTACGATACGTACTCATTTAAGTTATTGTTTTTTTCAAATACAATCTGCTCCGGACTCGACTTCAATTTATGGACGTTGGGAAAGGTGTTACATTAATATTGTCATGAGCAAAGTATTCGGACGTCCTTTTTATGATGTATGCGTTAAGGCTTGGGACTGGTTACGTGAAGCGACGCCGCCTACCATATTGCAAATACAAAACATGCCTATCTGCATAGGTACTGTAGATTGCTTGTCTTCAAAAAAAAAGGTGAGTGCAAGTTAGACGAACCGAAACCGCATTTATATTCCATACTTCTTGTAGTAGGTATCACCCAAGGCAAGGTAAGGTCCTTAGCCGATGATTAACCATTTTTCAGAGAGGAACTAAAGTAAATTGTAACCGACAAGCCCCTTATAATTCTGATAGAATTTGCAAAAATTACTTCAAACCAGGGATGAGAATAAGTTCGATGAACCGGAGCACATCCATCTTTCATATACTTAGGGTAACCGGAAGACAAAGTTATTCGAATTTTTTTTTAAAAAACTGCGTTTGTCGCATCTCTAGACCTAAATTCTGACTATATAAGAATTTCCCCGAACAACGATGGTTTACGGTGTTTGTCTTTTTATACAGAAAATTGCAAGTAAACTCTTGAATCGGAACGGTAAGTCGGCAAAACGAATGTCGGAACTGTTACCGAATGACCAAAAGAAGAACAAATTTGTTGGATATCAAACGATTTGGACTAATGTGCTGATTGTTGATGAAACTTGGGTCTAGTACTAAGCACCGCAGAAAATCCGTTTCCGAATTGTGGCTTTCGCGTTGCCTGCCACCAGACTTAGACAATCAACTACAGCAGTCTATTCAAACCAGGGGTGAGTATAAGTTCGATGAACCGTGTTCTGGAATAAAGATGGGAATGTGCAAGTGTCATCCAGTCTCTATTAAATGATCAATATTAAAATCCCCCGGCACTCCCGTTTTAAAAAGGAAAAAGTATTCCACTTAAAACTTTAGAAGCGAAGGCTCCGCGTTTCTGGAAAGGATTTTTAGTACAACCCTCGTAGTTGATTAATTTCGCAAAAAAATTATTTACACTGACGACTAAATACATACTCCATTATTGCGAACGTAGATTTGCTTAGTAGCAGTAAAGACGTTAGAATTCGAAGCCTGCTGCCACGTCTTGATCGTGTCCAGAGGATGGCCCACTAATACGCCGCAAGCCCCTTAAAAAACAGAAATGAAAAGAAAAGCAATATTAGGCAAAAAAGAAGCTTTCGATTCTTATTATACATACATGCGAACGAAGCATTCCATCGGACTTAAAAATAGTGAAAGCGTAAGTTCAAAAACAATAAAACACAAAGCGACGCGGTGATGAGCAGGTGCTTTTGCGTTTATCATTTATATATTTTTTTAATAATAAATTAGGCAAGAAGGCATTATCTGTGAACTGTATGTATATGTTAGACACTATGCCACCGACACCGACATCAACCACTAAACATCACTTTTCTCTAATGTTTTTCGATTGCAATAACAAACGTTGATCTTGCCAAAAAATGTGCCCATGTGCAATATGAACATAATGATTTGTGTGTGTGTGTGTGTGTGTGTGTGTGTGTATGTATGTGTGCGTAGTAAAGCTGCTTATACGGGAAATGCTAATGGGCGCCAAAAAACTGAACTTGATCACTTTTGATGGCCAAATTAGTCCTAATGCTTGACGATGTCAATCAACTTGTGGGACACAATTTATGCATCGAACAAAAAAACAACAAGAGAAAACAACAAAAATCGTATTAATTACATCACTAAACATATGAAAATATGAAAATGAGAAAAACTTCTGACGATTATTGCGTTTAAAAAACTGTTTACACTATTAAGCGTGCAACGCAATTAATTGTTTTTGTGTTAACAAAAAAAAAAAAAAAAAAAACAAAAATGAACAAAACATTATTTTTTTTTTATTATTGTTTTTGTAGAAATTTTCACTTGCCACCAAAACAGCCAGCTAAAAAATGGCTATACTGTTCGTGCCTCATTGCATCACACCTCGCACTCTTATAAAAACAACACCAACTTTAATATATAATTGATGTGTTAACTCTACAGTATTTATGAAAATTATCACACATATTTTATTGTTGTTGGCTTGTTTGTTTGCTTTAAAAACAAAACAAAAAAAAAAAGACGTTAATTACTTAAGCTTTTTGTTTCCTTCAAAATTCCTACAACGAGTGCCGAGCGCCGCTATTCTATTTATTTGCACACTTGCTGTGTTGCCACCACTATCGCTCACTCACTCTTATTGCAGATAATTATCATATGATTGCTATAAACGAGTGCAACAAGTTTAAAGATAAAAAGTTGAAGCTTTTTCAACTATGCATTCGAAAGCTTCAGCAGCCACTTAAGAGGAACAGCTTTATATATATACGGTGGCACTATCGCTAACAAAAGTGCGCAAAAAAAAAAAGTGAAGTGATTTCAATCGTTTCTTTTGTCTCCTTTTACTCAATTATTTTAATTTGCTCGAAATTGAACACAAGAAAGACAAGCAAAGACTCCACTATAGAGCGACCTATCCCCATCCTTCACATGCAGTTATTTATATAATGACTTTTCAAAAAAACAGCATTATAGCTCACAATATCTCAAGAAATTTCCCTGTAACCTCTACTCATTACTAATGTATAGAAGCATGAGCAAGGTCAGATAGGGACATTATTAGCTCTAGATTTCCGACGTCGTTTGTGTACCTATTTGAGAGGTCAATTTTGTGAATCGTCACATTCGCACAAATATAGATAGGAAAATGAAATTTGACGCAAACATTCCATGATAGACTAAGAATATATACTTACAAAGTGGGCATGATCTGTTCAAATATCGGCCCACAACGTAGAAAACACTAAAACAATCTCGAAAAATACGAATAATTTTTTCAGCATTTTCATCTATAACTTTTAATCCTGTGACTATATTTCTAAAAAACTAGCACTCGAGTATTCGCAGAATTATCTGCCTATACTGTGCAAAAATAGTCCCCATTGGCTTCAAGCCACGGCCTCTAGTAATGCACTGGATAGTAATAACACGGACGAAATTTTCTGTTTTTAGTAACTGTTTAGTAACCACTTCTAAAAGTTAATCTGAAAATATGTGAAGTAGTTTTACTTCCTTTCTTTTTATACCATCATCGATCCCTGAGGGCTATATTCATTTCGTCAAAATGTTCGCATCGCCTAGAAATATGCATCAGAGACCACACAAATGACATGTATTCACGATCAACATGAAACTTGAAATGGATTTAAGCATGTTTTGTCAGTCCATCTGTGCAGTGTCTGTTGTAAGCATTCTGCTGGCCACAAAAGTGAACCCGGTCGAAGAACGCGCCCTGAGCACCACGTGAGCTGGGAACACCTCTGTTTTTAAAAACGAATGAAAAATTGGTTTTTTGTTCATTACTCTCAAACTATAGCAAATAGATGTACAAAAATTTTCAAATTCTTGGCCGATTACAACTCTTGAATGCTCCTAAACATGTCCGCCCATTCATCTGTCCATCTGTCTGTTTGCGAAACCTTCTAGCATTTGTGCAAATCATTCTCCCGTTAGCGAAAATGAAGACATCGCTTAAAAATTTGCAAAAGAATTTTGGATTGACCTAAACATTTGTAAGGACACGCGTACAACGCCCACATGTCTCTGCGACAAAAACTTCTTTATTGAAAATAGAAGAAATCAACTGCGCCCACTCCTTATTATAGAGTAGAGTAGAGAGAGAATGTTGAGCTTTTACTGTTTTGTCTTTTTGTGGAGTAAAAGGTGATGGATACAGAAGGTTCGATCCGAACCGAATTTAATTTCCTTAGTTAATAGTATATATGAAGCGTAATGAAAGTTAAGAATTATGGAACATGGACGTAGGACATTACTTTCAATGGACAAGTCAGGCACTATCCTTTAGTCTTCGCTTCTGTTGGTTCAACTGCTCTTTTCTACTGTTAATATAGATAAATATTCATCCTATAACCTGACGACACAACTTTATGAAAACTCAATTTGGATTATTTATCTTCGCTACAATTAATGGACAATTGAATATATTATGATACAACTTAAGCTAATGAGTAGCCTTTCAAATGTTCTCCAGCCAAGAATATACATAAATGCATGACATAAAGAAATAAGACCTATTTTTCCTTTTTTTTACAGAAAAACTTGATTGCTCCGATTGTATGCGAAGCGGGCATGAGAGAAGCGATTCGTTGAAAATAAGTAAGAAAACTATATTCGGTTGCGAGCGAATCTTTTATACCGTATCATCAAAGAAGGGAAAAATGAAAATTTTCATACTCCATCGTAACAGGTTGGGGTGGCTGATTTTTCATATTCTTGGAGAATGATTTTTGTGTGTTATAGCTTATGAGCAACGAGCAGAATACACCGAAACGAAGGTGTTCTGACTTTTGGTTCTTTAGACGTGTGGACGTTGTAGGCGATATCTCCTTCTTTGCGGGGGAACGGGAGAATGTGTAGAACAGATATAACACAGTTTGACAGACGGACAGATAGACGGACTAACACACGAGCCGACATGCTTAGGTGCTTTCCAAATTTGAAATTGCCCAAGAATTTATACGCTTTCTGGGATGCTTGCAGCTGACTTCTGCGCGTGATAAAGGTATTGAAAAAAAAAATTAAATTTTTATACAGGTACTACAGCACCACCCATAAAACACACGTACCTTTACCTAGTGTAGTTTATGGGTAACGAGCAAATACGAAATCTTTTATTCGATTTGAAAAACAAAAGTGTTCTCAGTGTCCGTATTACTGCAAACGTGTCGATCAATTCGATCGATTTCTTCCACTTTTAATATCGACCTGCAAGCAAGAACTCGCAACGTTTCTGCCAATTTTGATGTCGACGGGCAGATGCACACTTAAATCGATTCAAAATTTAACGCTGATCTTGTATATATATATTTTGTTGGCGTTCTCTGAAGAAGCCTTCTGGGCGTTGGAAACGTTTTGCCAAAATGATATATCCCTCAGTGAAAAGTAGTTCGACAAAGAGCTTCTCGTAAAATCATCATTTTGCGTCAACAGCGGGCAGAATAACAGGCTGTGGTTTCTTTATAAGTAAATCTATTAAGCTTTTAACCCTGCCATGTGTAAAGTAGCTGAGCAAGGAGTAAAGTTCACCTGTGAGACTCATTTCTGGATTGTAGACGTTTTGACTTAAAGAAGGAAAACTTGGCTGCAGTATTTTTTTTTTTTTTTTTTTTTTTTATAATTAATTTCTTTTTCATTTATTGTTGATTTAGTTTTAGTTTGTTTTCAAATTCATTATTACATGCGTTTGCTTGCAGCAAATGCACGCTTTATATTTTATTCCATTTCATTTATTTGTTTGTTTGTTTTTTCTTCCTTTTTTATTTTTTATTTTTTGCTTCTCATCTACATTTTGTCGTATTTATCTTCTTTTTGTTTTTGTTTTTAGTTTCTTTCATTCTCGGTTCGAATCGATTGATTGATGCCTTGTTATGGAATTTCTTTTTCAATGTTTTGTGTTAATATATAATGATTTTGTGGTTGTTGTTGTTGTTGTTGTTGCTAATGTTAAATTGTAAATTCATATCAACTAATTTTTTTTTATATTTATTATAATTTCAATTATAATTTTATATTAATTTTTAATTTCATTATAATTAGCATTTATAATAGTTTTAAATTTTTTTTTAAATTTTTTTTTTTTTTATTATATCTTTGTTGTGTTTTTTTTTTTTTATCTTTACATACAAAATTATTTTACAATGATCGGAATCAGAAAAAAGCTTTCCTCGCTCTAATGTTCAAAATGTTTTATTATTTATGTATTTATTTATTTTTTTTAATTTTGATAAAATGATGAAAGTTTGTTGTCTTGAAATGAAAATATAATTTCTTCGATAATAAAAAAAGAGAAGAAAAAAAATTTTACTCTTAAATATTTAACATTTACATATATTTATTTTAATTAAACTTTAACATAAACAATAATTAAACATATTCTCGCGATAATGAGATAAAATCAAGTTCTGAAATAACTAAAAACATATAAAAAGCAATGAAATTTCGTATGTATTTTTTTTTTTTTTTATTTTTGTTTCTTTTAACATGTTTATTATTACACTATTTTATCGATAGAATTTATTGAAATATGATAAAAAAAAAAGATGTGAAAGAAAGAAAAACCAGCTATACCTTTATAGATATCAATATGTGTATAATATAAAATTAGCGGATGGCTTTTAATTTATTTTTCTCTCTCCAATGTGTTGTAATTATTATAAATTGAAAGTAAATAAAGGCTTACAAAGTATACTGCACCTTAAACGGCAGACATGCTTGACAGGTGTGGGAAAGAAATTGGTAATAACATTATTATTTTGAAATCATTTCTGAATTTATTTATCGGCACAGTTTCGATTGTGAAATTTATTTCAAAGCACTTTGAAATATTCGCGTTGAGTTGCGACAATAGTCACAACGGGCATGTTAGAGATAGTCTTTCGATTCGATCTTAACGCGATATTTTTGATCTCGTCCGCATACAATCTTAAGAGATGGAAAAGGTCCCAAAAAAAGAGATTTCTTTAAAATTTCATGGGACAATTACTTAAGGCATTCTTGATGTGTTACCTTGTAGGCAAGGCGTAATTTCATTGCAACCTTACATGCCTATACTAAACTCTCCCTCTTTCCATTCCCATTGCTTTTGGTAAGACATGAAAATAAAGCGAAACGAAAGTCGCTTGCACTGGTAAAACATACCATCATGTTTATCCGGATATCTTTGTGATGAACTTACCACAAGAATTCTCGTTAGATTTTTATAAGTTCCAAAATTTTCTGTTAACGATTATATATGAAAAGACTTGTGGATATATGTATCAAATTCTAGCAAATTGACTCATTTCGGTAATGGCATTCCAATTAGTTGCAGAGCTCTGTACAGAGTTAGTAATTATTGAAAAAGTAACTTTCAACTATACACGTTAAGCCTATTTTAAGCCTATTAAGTGCTGGAAGCCAAAAAGCAAACGGAGTGGAAATAGCTCTTAAAAAATATTGCCCATTATATTGTTGGGGTTTTGTAAGCAACGAACAAAAAAAAGGCCTTCATTTCAAATTGTATTTTAATTTTTGTGTTCGCATAGGTTTTTTGATTTGATACAATATTGGAAGTATACTATATAGCTGAAACTGCATAAGAAACTTAAATGTATATATATATATATATATATATATATCATCCTACTGCAACCATACCGCCTCCTCCATCTTATAGACGTTTCGCTGTGTTAAAAGAAATGTATGCATATTTTGGTTGCAGCATTATCCCGAGCCCAAGAGCATCATAAAACATCATTTCTTACAGAGGCGGCCAAAAAAACGTATTTTACAAATATAAATTTTTAAAAATTGAGAGACAATTTAACTCTTAACTAACATAAGTAGATATGATTTTGCTTTATATTATTATATTAACAAAGGTTTCGCTTTAACCTTTGATTCGAGATAATGTCGCAGAATATTTAGGCGACTATCTCTGCTCTTATAGAAAACAAGGCATTAAACTGCGAAAAGCATTTCAATCATATATACATATCTATATATACATATAAATAAAGAGGAAGACGAAAAAATGCGGAAAAAAAATTGCAAAAACGTATAGGAAGCAACAAAGAGGATAGGAAGATATGTTTGATATAAAGAAAAAGTAGAGTGAAAATTGTATTTACGTGGCCTTCACTTTCGAGATTTTAATGCTCGACAATTTGAACCGAGTTGTTGTTTATATTATAACGGTCTTCTTTTCCCTTCCCAATAACAATCAGTTGTCTTTTAAGCAAAACATTTCTAAATGCAAGTAATTTAAAAAAATAATAATACTAATAATATTCGAATAGTTTTTCTTGCTTTTTCCATACGGACTATACTTATATATGTGAGCAATTGATTATATACATTTGGTGCAATATTTAGTGATTCGGCATGAAAACATCAATTCATAAAACAAAGCATCTCGAATACAGAAACATCTCAAGAAAAACTGTCAGCGAAATTCTTATTAGAAATAAGGCGGAACCCGCTTTTTATTCAAAAATTTTACTTTTACATTCACTCATACATGATATTGAATAAATGGCCAACATAACGCATCAGATCAAAGCATATACAGTCGTATGAAATATTTCCTATTTAACGTTTTGAACGTTGGCGCCCTCTTGACATGTTTTCCACTGTAACTATAAAATGCTTCGCTTTATAGCTTTGTGTTTCCGTTCAGAATTTTTATTTTCTTTCTCTTATTATATTCTGCTAATATTTTCTTTCGTTTCTTTCGCTTACATCATTTATCAAACGCGAAATTTATATGAAAAACAAACAAAAAAAAAAAAAATGCCGGCGAGATGACCTATTAGACAGAGTAGTGCCAATCAGCGCTTTCTTTCTTTTTGAAAATATTGATAAAAAGTTTTACATCACCTCAGAGACATAAATATAACAAGAGGAGCAGAGCACATCCGGTTTAGCATATGGTGTCTTGATGAATCAGATCGCCTTCGAAACATCTCTTAAAAACAAATTTCTAATCATTGTGTTTATATATAAATGTATACATATAAATAATTAATGTTTTGATATAAGTATTTTTATATTCATATAAATATATGATTTAGTTTAGCTTGTTTTTAAAAATATATTTTAAAGTGTTCCTTTTTCTCAAATATTTTACGAAACCAAATACCTCTGCCTTGTAATATTCATATTTTCAATTAACATTTACCTTGCTACTTAATTAAAAAAAAATAAGTAAAAAGTAAAATAAAAAAAAAAAAATGATGAAAACTTCCAATTGTAACGGATTGGAACAGGTCAAGTATGTAGTAGTAAAAGAATAGGTGATTGCTTTGCTTTTCTCTCTGTCGTAGAAAAAACACAAGTTTTTACAAATAAACCATTTATTTATTATTATTACGATCATTGATTGATGGTATATTTTTTTTTTGTTTTCTTCCTTATATTCATTTCTAGTTAGAGGTGTCAAGGTGTCAGGGGCGATGTGAGGGAAATTTTTTATGTTTCGGTATATATATGTATGTATTTATGCATGTATATGTATGTATGTATATGTATAAATTATACTCTTATTTAACAATTGTATTTAGTGGAAATTTGTTGTTGCTGTTTTCTTCTGTTACATATCTCGTTATATATATAATTTATTATTAGAATTTTCTTTATTTATATTTTCAGCGTTTTTGGGATTTTTTTGTTTTTTAAGTTTCTTAGAATCTTTTATATTCTATTTTGTTATTATTATTATTATTATTACTACTATTATTATAATTTCGTTATTTTTATTATTGTTATTATTATTATAAGGTGCTAGTAGTATATACGTATATATTTATGTATAGTAGTAGTTGTTTTTTGTTGTAATTCTCTTTTCACTTTTATTTATTTTTTTTTTATTTAATAAATATATGTATTTTTACTTGTAATTCTGCTCTACAGTCTCGGGGCCCGTTTATCTAGGGGGTCTGTCCGTATCTGCTTATATTTTTAATCATTTTGATTAGCGGTTTTTGATGGTTATAACCAAAGTTGTTGAAAATGTATAGATACATATATATATATATATATATATATATATACATACATATTTCATAAGAAGCATTTATTCTTAACAAAAACAGTTCGCGCTTCACTCGTCTTTGTTAAGCACATCGATGCTTTACTATCATATTTTCAACAGAATCTTAATATAACGCAGTTAGTATGAATTTCGCTATGTATTTCGTATGTGTATCGAGTTCCCTTTTCTGCTTGCTTATTTTAATGGTTGTTTTCATTTCAGATGCCTTATAAATTTTATATAGCATAAGCTTAAGAATAGAGTCATTCTTTTCTTATTTGATAATTTTAGACTTAATGTTGATGACTCTTGTCCGTTTTGTGTGTGTTTTGTTTTTTTTTTTCTTATTCTTGTTGATGCATTTTCTACTTTTCGTAGATTGTTTTTATTTTTTAGTTTAATTCATATGCTTTTGTTGTTTGTTACCCCTCTAAAATTAGTTGTTAGAATTTGTTTTTTTTTTTTTTTTTTTTTTTTTCATTTATTTATATTTATTATGCATATTCAAAATATTTTCAATGCAGGCGTAAATTTTTTTATTTATAAATTCCTTCTTTCGAAGTCTCCTACGTAACCTTGCTTCGGCTGCTTGTTATTTTGCTGTGTGTTCTTCGTCTTTCCTCTACGTAGCCTGTTATTATTTCACGATTTTTAACATTTATTATTATTTCTCTTATTAGTTTTATGTACGATTATATGTATTTTTTAATCCATCTTGCAGGCGCTCTACGTTTCATATTTGTTTGTTTTATTAATATTTATATCTACGAGGCTCCTTCCGTAAAATTGGGCATTTTTTTTTTTTTTTTTAGATTTTATAATAAAACGTTCTTTTTTATAATTATATATATATATATTTTTTTTTTTGTTTTTTGTTTTTTTTTTTATATATCATATTTTACTACCACGCTCAACAGTATTCATGTTAAAAATTCAAAACAGAAAAATTTACTGAGTGTGTTTAGTTTTCAATCTTAGTTTCGGGCTTCATTTTGGCGAATGGATTGTTAACACCGACAGTCGAGTTTACCGCATTACCGCTCAGCGTACCAGAATTGATTAACTTGTTGTCACCGCCAGCGCCCATATTATTGTTGGCATTAGCGTTATTCGATTGAAGCGCACTAGTATTCTGTTGTTGTTGCTGCTGTTGTTGTTGAACACTATTACCAGCTATAGCACCACCGCCAGACGATGATGACGCTGCGCCACTGCCGCTGGATGTGTTCGTATTGACTGCCTGAATACTTTTTGTACGATTCAGCTCAAGTTCATGCAGCTTCTTCCACAATTCCTCGCGGTCGCGTTCTCGTTTCTTCTCTCTATTAAAATAAATAATAAAAATATACAATTAATATAAAAACTGATTTTAAAGGAAGATGGATGGATGTTCGCTCGTTACACAGATATTATCCAAAAATTTCTCACTTTGTTTACTAATTATTGAAAACAACTAAAGATTTCGCCAAATTTTCCTTGTAAGCAATAGTGGATTGAAAGTCACACTGTAACAATCTTCACTTAATAATCCGATCTGTCCAATAAGGCAATAAAGGAATTATATTCATTCAGCTTGGAGGGAGTTTATTAACGCCATCCACAGCTGTTATGGACAGTAAATTGCAAGGCTAAACTATGGGTGTCAATATAATAAAATAAAATACACTCAGCTCTTTTTTTATACGATAGATGTACAAAATATTGTGTTAAAAACTATATATGCGACATACGATAAACCAAGGATTATGTTCCACAACTTTAACAACTAAGAACGTCATATTCGGCCGGGGCCGAATCTCGCGTACCCACCGCTACGCTTTTCGCAGTCTACTGTTCAAATTCTTTTACTTGATATCCATACCGCTGGTATTATTAAAAACAAATTAATAGTGTTGTGCACGTTTCTTACAGACTGGACCAAAAATGTTGTCGCAGGTAGATATATCGGATATGTCTAATGCAACTGTCGAGTTCGATTCAAATTAAAAATTAAAACATGTTTTCTTTAAGATTTGTGCTAAAATGAAAAACTCGTGAAAAAAGCGTATATGTTCTCATATTCGAATAGTCTCACTTCAGAATCGAAAAATCAGGAAAAAGAAAAACCGTGCACAAAACAAAAAGTGTTGAGTGCATACAATGATTCGCAGAGTTAGGGGATGTTCGAATTTGACATAAAAAGCTTGAAAAGTCAATATTTAAAGCACTCTAAACAAGATGTCCTTAGTTTAGGTAACACAAACAAATTTAGGCAATTTTAGCTGATTTTCGAACTTAATTGATAGAGTTCTGAATTAACACTAATGCAATCCCGTCAGACCATTAAGATTTTAAAAGGTGATGTGATCGGGCAATTTTTACAAAAGGTCTTCTCACATTCACTGTAAATGCTGAATTTTTTTCACTGTATGTGATTGCTATATTCGCTAACCCCCCACACCCCTTCTTCCTCATATGTTTTTATTAAATACAAAATAGTTATTTACTTTTGTCGTTCGGCTTTGTAACTCGATGTTAATTCGTCAAATAATTTTGAATTCATTTCCATAAAGGTTTTCAAAACATTATAAACCAAAGCCACAATTGTTTGATTCCAATGTTCTTTGCTAATGCGATACAAAGCCGGAAACATAATAGGCATAATGACAGCATTGTTCTCCTCAATTAGAGACATGGCGTATTCATTGTTCCACAGATATAGGGCGCGTTCAGCAACCTAAGAAAGAACAAAATGCAAGCAAATTTTTTTTGATTTACTTTTTTACTCTTAAAAGTGCAAGCAAATAAGAAAGAAAGTTTAACTTACCTGAAAATGTGGGCTGGACACACATTTGGCTATTTGGCGAAATAGGGGTTCTTGAATTTTTACAAATTGTGGTGGATCAATAACATCGAGAATTTCCTCAATTTCACCCAGAAACATAACCTCCTTCTGTGAGCATGTTTTCGGCCAAAATTTCAAAAGACCCCTTACTACGGGTTCAGTAAGAAATGGATCCTTTTCGAGAAACTGTACAATGCAATAAGCCAACTGAGCATGATACAAAGATAAACATTTGACTTTGTGCAACGGTAGCAACACTTTAACCAAAAATTGTTTATGTTCGGCCTTGAGCGGTAAAGCGAAACCATTTATTATGCTATAGCAGAAGATAGGAAGATCTTTGTTAAATTGTCATTTGTTTATTTGTTTTTTTTTTTCTTATACAAACCTTCCCAAAATTTCCAATAATTCACCCACTCCGTTAAAATGCTCCGTTTCATAAATGAAGCGTAAAAATATATTGTTGATCTGCTTTCTTATAAATGCTCGTAAACCCAGAAATTTACCGTAAATACGATGTAAGACGGTTTTCAAAAAATCACGCTCCCGCGGATCTTCCGAATCAAATAACTCTAAAAGCTAAATTAAAAAAAAAAAAAACATCCAAACCATTTTAAATAAACAAACTTTTACCGAACTTTTATAATTAATCAATACGAAAATTAACGTAGGAATGCCTTAGTAATATAAGGCTGTGTAAAAGGTGGGAAATATAAAAAGAAGAATTCACTATATATTCTGACTAAATATTTAGCACTCAAATCTTGCTGAGTATTTTTTTATTTTCGCGATATAAATATAAATATAAAAAAAGGAAAATTTTCTCCAACCTGCAAAACAAATTTTTGATCAATAACACGTTTGCCGATGGTTGCTTGAAAATCTTGCGATTCGAGAAAACGCAAAAACACCTCGTACACTAATTGTAAGTGGGGCCAAGAAGCTTCCAGTGTTGGATCGTCTTCTTCCGGATCAAAATCCGGATTTTCACTGGGAGGCAATGTTCGAAATAAATTGCAAGAAATCTATTGAGAAGCAAATAAAATAAAAAAAATTATTACCCACAATTAAACATTGATATGTGCGTCTCTTCTATACCATTCGTATAATTTCGGGATATACAGCTTCCGTAAGTACACCCCGACCATGCGTTATGTAGGTGGATAAGTCATTAAGAGCGGCACGTTTAATTTCTTTGCCTTTCAAATCAGTCACAGGATCCATAAAATCAAATGATACGCAACACTGACGTAATTTACGTATAAACAATTCTTCTTGTTCGAGACTGGAACATTCGGCTAGGTAAGGAGAGGAAAAAGTAGAAAAACAAATGTAAAATAAATTCTGGCTGATCTAATTATAATATCTTTAAGAGTAAAATGTTACATTTTAATGGCGGCAGCTGTTGCAATTCCACATCCTGTGAATTTCGATAGCGTGAGGAACCTTGACTCTTTTTGCTTTTCTTTTTTAGTGAACGTTTGGCGAAGGGATCAATTCGATCAACAAATGTTCCCGATGACATTTTCTCCAACTCACTGTTTATTCTTTTTCAAGATTTGTGCTGATCAATTTATTTTTCAAGCTCAGTTTTATTCAATCTCCGTCTCTCTCTCCCTCTCTCTCTCTGTCTCTCTCGCCCTATATATATATATATATATATGTGTGTATATATATAAGTCCTTGCTCGTCTGTTCGCTAGATGGTCTTTTGATTTGTAAATAACTTTTTTTTTGGGTATAACTGAGAATGACGGCTAGAAGTAAAAATCGAAAAGAATAAAATTACAAAAACAAATATAAAAAAGCCTCAATATCGCCAGTTACGTGCACAATTCAAGCTTAAATAGTAGAATAGTACCTCGTTGAATAGAAAGGTTTTTTTAAATGATGAACAGATCGTTTGTATATTGTTGCTGCTAATGTTGTTGTTGTTGTTGTTGTAGTTGTTGTAGTGAATTAAATGGAGGGATTTATTATTGCAAAGATTTAGAAAAAAAAATGTTTTGTTTTGAAATTTTCTTTTAATTTTTTTTAAATTTCGTTTGATTGAAATGTTTTCCCGTCTTCTTCTGTGCTATTCGCTAAGCCTCCATTTTGTTGTAGGAGTTGTTTCTACTGTTGTTGTCTTTATTGAAGTTGATGGCACATCGTATTAAAAATTAATTTAGTTTTATTTTTTTTTAAATTTTTAAATTCTGGCGCTTTAGCACCAAAAAATAAAACGAAAACAATTGTAGAAAACACTTTAGTTGAGAAAGAGAGAGAACGTGCAATTTTTTTGTCTAGATATTCTCCTCTGTCATTCCTTTCTCCTCCTTTTTTTTATCACATAGGTAATGAGAATGAATTTTATGAATTTTATTTATTGGCTTTTTCTTATTTTGTTTTTTGTATATTTTAAGGAAATAACATCATAAGGGTCCCAGAGCCGACAAATCTGCAACACAAAAAGAAAGCCGACACGTTTCAGAACTTTGGTTAATTGATAAGTTAATTGTATTATACATGCACGCACTTCCACCTACACACACGCACACACAGCTCAAATTCCACGAATTCTTCAATAATTAAGGTAAGTTTTAAACAAATTGATCTCTTTTTAGAAAAACGCTTTAGATGCTGTAGTAAGATGTATATATGCAAAGTACCTATAAGACATGATTTGTTCACCTAGTTTTCGAACATGCGACATGACATACTTTAAGTTAAAGCCAAAAATTTTAAGAGGGTGTATTAAAAATATAATTAAATTGTTAACATGAAAGGAAAAAGTGTAAAGTTTCTCTTTATTGTTTTAAAAAACAAAAAATGCTCTGCAATTCCCTAAATCTATTTCGGATTTAAGAAACAGGAGTTGGCAATAACGAAAACGAAAATTTTTACTAATGGCAATGCTATCTAAATTTTATGCCATAAAGACAATTTTTCAAAAAGATTTTACTGAACAAGCAAAACTTGAGATAAAATTTCTTCCATTAATCACGTGCTTAATTAAGTAAATCCCACCATTCAAATTACATATACCTATGTACTGTAAACATCTTACTGATCTAACAAATTCCAAACGTTAAATGTGAAAAATTGAAAAACCAACAAGCCAACAAACTAATTAGAAGACATCATTAGTAGCTTTAGAGCTATTATCTCTGCCGCCCTTCTAAGCCAAAAATTTCTCTTTTGCCAACATGGCTAAACAATTAAAATAATGAAGACTTTCTATTAAAATAGCGACAGAACTTAAATTGTAAATGTACATAAATTATGCTTACTTATGCATGTATGTATTTGTATCTGTCTGCATGTACGACCTGAGAAGTAGTTTCAAGTTTTCACTTCGATCGTAGTTTAAACATGTTTTATTAAACAACAAAAAGCCGACGCAGTCCTTCTTAAAATAACAGTTATTTTGGGAAACAAAATCTTAACATTTAGTAGTAGTACCCCGTGAAGATAATAAAAAGTTGACCGACACTGGTAAGGTGGAGGACGTTGGACAACACAAAACTTACTATTAAAGTAATCTTAAGGAATCTTTAAAGAATCTTTATAAAGATATAGGTATTCTTGCTTAATTCAAATAAGCTTAAATTTCTTATAAGAACAATCATTTAAAGGTCTAACTGTTAAATTATTCATATTTTTGGGGCAAAACTATATGTGGTATAACCAATTAGCCTACAGCGAGTGGGTGGGGGAAGGGGTTTTTTACGGCAACAACAATTGAAGATAAAGAAAGTAGGGAAGCTGCGTTTTGACTTCTTCTGAGAAAACCATGGTTTTACAGTTTTGAAGGATACTAAACATCGTCTCCTCCGCAAAGCGTAACTCAATTATTTTTTCTTCAAAAGTACATAAAGAAGTAATGTTCTTGCAAATAATCTTTTTTAACAAAATCTTCGTCATGTTCAATGATAAAAAAATTTATGATTGCAACGTTTGCAGAAAAGTTCGCATAACATGTGTTAGAAAACACGCGAGCCGCTTGATACGCATTGATGAAAAAATTATTCGAGATCTTAACTTTTTACGATCGGCTTCGAGGACATGATATACGAATGATATCAAGAAAATGTTTCACAAACATGATAACAAAGTTATTGTACTCTTTTTGGTGATAAATATTTAAAAACATGTTTCAACCCACACGTAACAACATCGTCACCCATTAACCACGTAAAATATACATAAATATATACAGCTTGCTGTAGGTATGTATTGATAAAATTCATTTTAAGAAATACTCGTACGTAATAAAAATTCTCTTATATGACGCTAACAGTGAATTGTAATTTCGCAGTTTATAAAATTGTTATTGCAATATCATATTGAAGGGAGTCTGTCCATGCAATTGCAGAAAATACAAAATTTAATAGATAAATAATTTAAAATTGGTAAATTTAATCCACCGTAATTACAAAATCAATTTCCTTAATAATCTGCGGTCCGTAGTAGTGATTGGCAATTAGGTATTACGACCTGCCGAGCGACGATTTAGAATAAGCTGGGGAATCTGTATATTTTGTTGCAGTAGATGCAAAATTTAGTGGAAATCTAATTTGAAATCATTATTACGGTCCATAGTGGTCGATGGCAATAGGAGCTATAAGTTGCTTCAGATAAACTGGGGAATCTATACAATTCATTTTAAATCATTCTCTTTAATAACCTTCAGTCCTTAACAGACATTATAACTTGCTGAGCGACTACTTAGGATAAACTGGAAAAGCGTCTGCGATGTAAACTTCGGCAAAATGCCACAGACAATAAAATATTTGAGTTATTACGTTTGATTATCGAGGCTGCCTTTGTCCTTTTACCAGTCGAAAAAAAAATGTTGATAAAGCTGATATTTTTTGTAAACTTTTGGGCAAAAAAGGGAATGTAGAGAACGATTTTATTTAGCATTATCAAACTATTTTTATGTGAAATTTATTAAAACCTTTACGTCAACTTTAAGAAGGTAATTATCTCGATAATTCTGCAACTTTTGTAGCCGCTAAAAAAAATTTTTCCATTTCTCGTTTCTTTGATAATATAAAATCGAATCGTACGTCTACAGGTACAATGGAAGCTGTGTCTGTGCATAAACTCAATCAATTAGCGTAGATTTGATTAATTTGTTAGTAGCATGTGATTTCGCATCTAGTGCAATATATATATCAGAGACGATCTCTTCTCTAACAATTGCTTCATTATAAAAGTAACAGAGGGAAAGATGAAGATTTCATTTTTAAGAAATCATTTTGTAAATTTATAATATTTTTTCTAAACTTAGACTGTTATCGACAAAGATAACCCGGCAAGAAAACATTGTTAAGTGACACTTTGTTGAGGTAAATTTAAATTCTATTTAAATGGTAAAGCCTCTCTCACTGCATTCACATGTTAAGATAATTTTTATCCACCTCGCAATGCACTCCTTCGTCGTATATTTAAAGGAAAAAATAATATTTTTCACTTTATAAACGCATGCACTTACAAGATGGTTTGCAAGTAAAAAACGGAGAATAAAAGAGAGCGTACTAAACCAAATTCTAGGAAGAATAATTTTGCCCTCTCGTCGAGTAAAGTGAAACGATGGGGAATGGCAACCGCAATAACAAAATACGTGTGTTTGTAATTCAGAGAATATAAGGTAGAAAAGAATAGCTATTATGCGACAATAACGCTTTGTTTTTATTGAAATTTGCAGGGTGGACCATTTTTTTATTACTTTTTCTTGTAATCAGCTCTAGCAGTTTTCAAAAAAATGTATATGCGGACTTGTTCTGGTTGTAAATCTTGCATACTCTATGAATATTTTTAGAAAGAACTTGCTGACCGGCTCGTTACTTACTCTCATTTTATTAGCTACATTTAAAATTACGTAGCAGTTTCCCAAAAAAGGCGAAAGTCATACGATTACATTAAATTTTGCTAAAAAGTTTTTGTGACCAACATTAAAATACTTTCTAAATGAATTATGATTCGGACAAGATGGCGCTGCAACAGACCGGCAAGTTCTGGTATTAAATAATTTTTTTCAATTGAAAATTTGTGAAGAAGTGTTAATCCCTTCCCTTTCACTCTTTCTGGAAGGCGAATTGTCTTCGAATCATCTAGACATAATCAAGTTGTAAGCGCTACAATGGAAATAGTTTTCAAAATTGTCGTCAAGTTTGCAGCCTTTCGAACACAGGCCCTAGGTTTCAAAGCGGAGGCACCAGAACCAGTGCAATTTCAGACTTCAATGCGGCCTTTTACATATAATAAAAAAATCATCAGTGATTTCCAGTATAATATGAGTTGTATATCGATTACAGTACACCGGGTACTTTGCTTTACACTATGAATCGAATGCGATGGAGGGGGATACAAGACGCTAAGAAACAAGAAAATAAGCAAAACTATTGTAAAGAAAAATAGGAAACATAAGCAAAATTCTTCTTTTTACCAACGAATTCATTGACGTCTAAAAAATGGAACTTATAAGCATTTAGATGTCTACTTGAGCAGCCATAAGCCTACATGAAAATTGTGTTTGCAACTAAGAAGGGCCAAGAAAAGTGCATTTATTTCAACTTAAGAATGAACACATTCGAACGACCATTCAATTAACAATCAAATATGAAAAAGAAACACATACAATATAAAATGTGTTACTTCGATGGCGACAACAAAAGAAATCACTCTCTTTCATATTGTTTTAAATTGTGATTAGGTAATTTTTTTTCTTAATATATATATACTTTATACAAAACGTATGAATATATATATATATATATATATACTTTATACAAAACGTATGAATTGAAATAATGTATTCGTTGTTGTTGCTGTCATCGTTTCGATACACTATCTCTTGTGTACACACACACACTCACACAGGAACACAACAGAAATATTTGTATAACTTGAGATTTATTTCATATCCCATTCTATTCCACCCATTTAAAATATTTTCACTTTCATACTTTGACTTAATTTATTTCTATTTTCATTTCTTTTTTGTTTTAGTAATATTTTGTGGATAAACATTCTTCCAAGGGGTTCTTATCCGCTATTTATGTAGTCTTTTCTTCGCCTTAGGTAAAACAAGTATAAAAGTTTTTGTTTTTTCCCAAGTAAAATAAAATCAATAAATCTAAAAATAATGAGTAGGAAAAAAGAGAACATATTTTTTATTATTTAGAATTACTTTGCTTTCGACCGATTTCCATTTTGCTTTCAGCGGTTACTTTAAGAGTTAAAAACTAAAATTTGTTTTACGAAATTATTCACCAATAATTTATCACATTTTTGTATACATTTCATTTCATTTTAATTTTCACACTTTTTTGCCTTCAGCTTAAGTGTTTTTACACTTTTGGGAAAGTTTTAAATTTTTATATATTCAGTTGGTTTTTTCGGCAAATTGTCAATGTTTATTATAGGGCGAGAAGACGGAAAAAATATTTTTTCTTATTCTTTATGACATACGTACTGCGTCTGAGCAACTAACGTTACAAAGGCACAGAAAACAAAACGCAGAAAAAAGCCGATTTTTAGTTCTTGTTTCCAGTTGTTTCATTCTAATCGTTTTTCTTGGCCCCAACGAAGAGACGAAAAGCTGATATATTTTTTGCTCGTTAGCTCCACTCGTCGTCTGATTATCAATGTGTTATTTAATATGTGGTAACTGAAAACATTTCATATAGTAGCAGTCGGAGTTGAATTATATTATCATCAGTGTTGCCAATAACGATGAAAATTATTCAGTTATTGAGAAGTGTAAACAAACATATACGCTTATTCTCACATGTTAGGAATTTTTATACAAATCATTGAGAACATATTCGCTTATTCTCACATGGTTGGCATTTTTACAAATTATTGAGAACATATACGCTATTTTCTCTAAACCGCGATTAGATAATACGCTTATATTCTCTAAACGATACTTGCACCGGACTCTATTTTCTCTTAAATTCTACAGTACTATTTTCAAACGAAAAAGAGAACGTCTATCTATTGGAACATTTTTTAATATTTTCTACCAGCCACAGAAAATTGCAAATTGCAAAGTACTTTATTCAAATAATGTTTATGTATACACGAATAAATGTATACTCTTTTTGAGTCCAGTCTGAATTGAAAATTTAATAAATTAAATTCTCGAACATAGGCAAAGCTGTGTTCTCTATAGACATGCAATTCTAATCGAACTCGACTAAAACTTTTCATCTCTGGCCAGAAGAAAGATCATTTTGGTTCTCAAAGCAGTCACAATTAAATTCTAAAAATTACTTGTAAAGGAAGGGTTTCATTTTTCTGAAAGTAAAGATTTTGAAATGAAGCGAAGGTATTCCTTTTCTTTCCATCCAAAATCCCGCTTCTCCTTCGAGTATACAATGATATGTTCTCGGCAAAGCCGCCAACGTTAGTTATCAAAATTCAGAGAAAATATCTATATGTAGTGTATACTATTTGAATACATTTTCAAACATTTCCTTTTAGGTTTTGTCAAGACCTCACACATCTCAAGTCGTATGCATAATCTTCTAATTTTTTTCACTAATTTTCGGGTTTGAATTTGACATTTCGAAAAGTTAATAAGTAAACTCTCGGGCAAGTATTAAATAATTAATTTTTTGTTTATTTTCATTGCAAGACAACAACAATCATATCTTGTCCTCTGAGTGGCTCTCCTGGAGCTTCTTCCATAGAAAAGGATCTAAGGCATGAATTAATATTCTTTTGTCAAAGTTGTTTATTATTTTTCACCTATTTTGATCATGATGTACTGGAAAGTAGATTTTGTTGTCATACAAATGACCATTTTGCATTTATTTATATGGATTGGAGTCCAGCAAATGTCAAATTATGTCAAATTACTATTATGGACCAATGGAAAATATTCATAGAGAAGACTAATTCTTCTCATAACAATTATTACTAAACAACTTTGTTGCACAAGTTTTGAAAATTGTTATAATAATATGGGGAGTGATCGTAGAAACGATTCTAGTCATATTCAGTAGGGTTGTCCCAAAACAATGGTCAATGTGATACATTCGTTAAAATATCTCAAAAATGGTGACCTGTACACACATCTGTAAGCACACAAAACATTGGCAAACTCCAGGTAGCAAGGCGGATAGACAAGCTTAAATGGACTCAGGAGATCATTCTGAATCTGCTCTTCGTTTGGGGTGTTGCATAGTTTCACACAAAGTTAATATATCCCGCATCACAAATAGTGTATAGTATAATAATTATAATCGAGTTCTGAACTTAACGAGAAGGTGAAAAAAAATTTGATACCCTTTTATTGTTGCGAAAGAAATTGAAAATCTGTTCACGTTGGACAAAAATATATATATATGTACGTTGTCCGATGCATATTTTTCTATTAACAATCCTTAAGCGGACTATATTTAAAGATCTTATCTTTATCATAGGACCATAAAGAAATATATTTGTTCATTTTCTCAATATAAGGCAAATTTTACTTTCTCGCAAAAAGTAATTCTACTTGATATTGCATAAGCCTTCAATTCTCTATGCGTGGTCTTTTTCAATGTTATTAATCTTTTTCACCTGAGATACTTTCCAAATCATTTACGAATTTATAGTCATCTGTGGAAGCTTTTAAGTAAGTTATTGGCGGATATGTCATTTTTTTAATTCTCGTTCATTCAGAATATATATATATTTATATATGTGCCATTGATTATATATGCTTTCACTGATCCAATTATATATATATTTACTTGCGTGTGTGTGTGTGTGTCTTACATAAATTGGATCGTAAAAAATTCAATTAAATGGAAATGGCAACTCTACTCACATCATAACTAATGGAGAAAACCAACTTACAACTTACATACAGACTTGTAGAAGAAAACATAAACTAATGGTGATAACTAATAAAAAAGAAAACGAAGCATAATAACAAGCAAATAATATACGCATTATACATTTACGGTTGAAAATACCTGCTGTTGCTGCTAGTTGTTCTGGTAGGTAGTTTCATAGAGTTTCATAGTTTTAGTAGCAACAGCCGCAGGTGTGCAAATTATTAACACCTAACGGTTTCAACTTTAGCAAATTAAATACACAAAAACTCTTCATATATTTTTAATATTTTAACTTTGTTGCCTTTCACAATAGGGGAAAAATTTTTTAACAGTTCTGATAATATAACCTTAGGGTGGGTGGGTGTGTATGTTTGTTTTTAATTTAAAAATAAACACTGTTTAATAACAAAATTTTTGTTACAAAAAAATATGTATATGAAACGAAATACATTTTCTTCTTTTATATTTTTATGCGATGGTGTAGTGGGCGCAGTATTTACGTAGCTATTCCTACGGCACAATTGTTTAGCCATTCGAACATTTTCTACGTGTATGTTCTATAAAAATTGTGTGATTATGAATATATTTTCATGCATTGGCATGAATTCTCTTTTATATATTTTGCCTTTCAAGGTCTCTTTAAAGCTAGAGATACTTGCACTTTTGCTACTGTTGTTATATTTATTATTATTATGATTATTATTACGATGTTAATCGGTCAATGATCTAACAATTGTTTGTTTGCTATGATTATTACAAATTTTTTGTTCCTCCTAACTACAATACGCAATATAAACTCGCACACTTTCATCCATGTATAAATAAAAGCACAATCCATCTATGTATAAATAAAAGCTTAGTATTTCGCTTAATTTAGAATTCATAATTATTAGCGATACGAGTGAATTGAATTGTTTTATATTTTCGAAGATTCCTTCCTTGCGGTTTTAACACACATGTGCGAATGAAAAAAAAGATAAACAAGCAATTATTTGTTTTTATTATTGTTTATTATGCTCGCAACACTCGTTTTGTTTTAAAATTTCAATCCTATTGCAAGATTGTTTGCAAAAATTTTACATTTTTTGTTGTTATATATAAAGAAGATAGGAAAAGAAAATCGATTTTTTCTTACATTTCTTTTGTCACGATTGTATGTGTTAGAAGCACTCTGATTATTTGACACTCAGATTAAATCAATCTATTATTATCTATCGGTTTCAAAAAATTTGACTTTTATTTGCAGCGCGCTTAAATTCTATTTTATTCTTCTCGTTTGTAGATTTTAAAAATTTGCTTTTCAAAATATAGTTTTTTGTTTTTACTAATTCAGTCGACGCATTTAGAAAATTAGCCGTACCCCGACCAACCGATCGACCGAACGTCGTTAAAGGCTGAACTGGCAATTCTACACGAACAATTTTCGCATTTTTTCACTTCATATAATCGCGGTCACATACACACATAAAAATTTTCAATTCGATATATCATATATAAACGATGAAATTCTTAAAAGAATTTCTAATGAAAAATAATTACTACACTTTTAGCTCAACTTTTTTACAAATTTTTTTAATTTTCAATAACGATGAATTGCCAAAATATTACTTTGTTTTTTACGTTTTATGAATTCAATGGCGAATTGAAGAGCTTCAGATTAGCCAGTGTTACCTGCAATATGTAAGGAAAAGGAACTTTTTCATGACATCTGTTTCGTCAAAAAAGCACAGAGTTGTTATAAAATAACGATTGTAGAAATTTATACAAATCCGCTTTCGTCAAAACAGAGTAAATTGTTATAAACTAACGAAAGCAGAAATTTTAACAACTCGGCTTAGGCTGACCCGCTTTACAAAATTGGAAATGTTAAAAAAATATGAAATTAACTTGACATGCGTAAAAATGCAATATTTTACATAATGTACTTTGCAGCTGTTGTTGCCGTAAATCTTGTTGCTGTAAAACTGGTACCCTGTTTAAGAAATTTTATATGAAAAACATAGATTTATTAAAAAAAAATAAAGAAACATCAGATAAATAAAGGCTAACTTGTAAAATTGAAGAAATTAAAAAATTTTATGTGAAAGCATAGATTTATTTTAAAAAAAATAAAGAAACAGATACTAAATATCCTAAAGTTTTCGCTACTTTCTCGACGGCTTTGCATTTTAACGGAGGTGACCCTTTGTAAAATGTTATTTAGCAGATGTGTCCATTTGTTTTGCCGACACCTTTGCATTTTAACAGACTTGTCCCTTTGTAAAATGCTATTTAGCAGATGTGTCTCTTTCTAAAATGCTGTTTAGCAGATGTGTCCCTTTATTCAGTCTGCTAAATTGCTAAGTTAGTTGGGCATTTAACCATTTAACAGAGTTGCAATTTTTTGACTTTTTTTATTTATTACAAGCAATTCTGTGCTTTGCCTTTTATCGTGGCATTTGGCGAGGGCCTTGTTTAAAAATTATGGCGGTCTACTTTTAGGCTAACTTAACAGAAAACAAATGTCCAACTCTGTTAAAATACAAAGCCGTCGGCAAAACAAAGATTCAATTCTGTTAATAGCAGTATTAGCAACTAATGTTTATTTATTTTTTCTTAATAAATGTATGTTTTCATATAAAATTTCTTAATTTGTTCAATTTTACAAATTCTACAATTTATTTAGTATGTAATGTTTCTTTATTTTTTTTTATAAATGTATGTTTTCATATAAAATTTCTTAATTTCTTTCATTTTACAATATTATTTATTAATAAAGGTATGTTTTCATATAAAATTTCTTAATTTCTTTTATTTTGCAAGTTAGCTTAGAATTAAACCGTGATAATTTTTAAACAAAGCCCTCGCTAAATTTCTTTATCGACAACGTATCAACGTTCCATGTTTAGCAAATTTTTACTTCAGAAATGTAATTGGCAAAGGAAAATATATGTATGTACGGTAGTCTAAAATAAAGTTTATTTGTTAATAATATAATTTATTAACAATAATTATTATATGAATATTTTAAGTATAGTTTATAAAAATAATAAATTTTGTTATTTTTTTTATTTTTATATACATATATATAATTGCGTCTTTTGTGAATTCTCTTATTTTCATCGTTATTTCTTTAAACTAGTACGAGTACGTCTTAAGATAGTCGCCACTTCTTTACCATTAATACTGTATCGGGATCTTTTTCCATTTCCTAAAGGGGCAATTTCTTATTTGAGCATGGTGCAGCATTTTTAAGAAGCTCCCCTAATTCGGTTGCTGTAGTCTCGGTTTGTAATAAATTTCTATTGGGTGTCTCACAGAGTTCATTGGGTGACCTAAAATTCTTTTTTGGGTTTAATGAGAACAAGCGATTTTTACAAAACGTCATTGGAACATTTAAAGTGGAATTGGATTTAAATGTTGCCAAGAATTTTGAGATTTTAAAATCCTGCTTGTTAAAGATGTCTTAAAGGTTTTTTTTCCAGACAGCATGCTTTGCTCTTTAGAAATAACTTTAATTTTTATACAAAGCAAATTATCCTCAATATCACTATCACTTTTATTTTGATGAAATTCGTTTAGGAGGCCTTCCATGCGTTTTTTCCCTTTCTCAGATATGAGCACTTTCTTGCCATTAGCCGTTTGGAAACCTGTGGGTTTGTCGGATTGTGCACTGTTCTTTGCCATTTTTTTAAATTTGAATTCCATGCGATCTTTTATATCTTTCTTTCCAGTTTCATAGTCTTTTTCGAACATTAGTCTTTTTCTGGTTGCGGTTGTTCTAAACCAGTAATCATTATATCAATATTATATGTTGCATACAGCACCACACATTGTAATGAATGGCCGTGGCAAAGAAACAAGGCAAAAATCCTGCATAATAAGCATTGAATACTGAAGTGAAAATTATTTGTTTCAAGCGATTATTGAAATCATTGCGTAGTAGTTCAATTTCATCACGTATAGCTTGCGCTTGAACAGCGCAGCAATGCGATGGTAACGCATTGAAAAAAGCTCCTCTTATCTCACAAATGAAACGCAAAAATGGTCCAATTTTTAAACCAAAAATTAAATAATACACAACAAACCTGAAAGTATAAGAAAAAACGAAAATTAAAACAAATGTGCCCTTACTTACTGCTTTGATCTATAACTTACAGATATATTAGCAAACAAATGGATAAATTGTTTCGATTGTTGTACATCACAACAATACAGAAGACCAGCATGGCTAATATAATATCTCCGATCAGGAATTTACATATACGCCACAGCCGGTGGTATTTAGTCGGTAAGATTAAATCCAAAACTCGCATGCTTAACCATTGGATTAGACGTCGTGAGTTCATAGCCACTATTAAAATTATTAGAAGAGGTTCTACATAATAAAAATTCTGTAAAGGAACAAGTAAAATATATTGTAGTTCGTCAGGCCATACCACCGAGCTTATCTCCAAAGTCATCAAATATATGCAAATGAATAGAGGCTAACTGAGTGGAGCGAATCTTTGATTCACGAGATCATAATCAATTGTGGTGCTTTTTAATTGGAAGCCTTACGAAGTTTATTGGTTAACTCTATTGATCATTTTATTTTTATTTATTGTATATTTATTTGCACCTTTACTTTATCATTTTATTTTTGCCTTATCCACAAAAAGCTTTCAATCGATAGGGGCAGACTTAAAAGAAACAACTTTTAGAAAGTGCTCTGCCAGATGTGAATTAATTCAAATAAAGAAAGAGATAAAACCGGCTTAACAAAACATGTTTTTTACACTTTTTAATCCCCTATATTTTTTTCGACCAAGAGCTTTGCTTCCAAATGCTGTGCAATATTCCAAAAAAGCTGCGAATATTTCGCTTGTACTCGGGCACAAACTTTCAATAAACATATTGAAAAGTATTCTTGAAAAGATAGGACTAAAAATAAGTTTGAGCAGGTAGAGGATTTCTTTTAAAAATATGATCACAACCGCAACAATACTTTCCTTGCACTGATATCTGAGAAAAGAAGGTTATGAAATAAAACCTAAATTGTTTATCCGACGTTTCGAAATTCAAATTAGATAAGCTCTTTAAAAATTCCCTCCACTGGGTATTCATCGATAAGTTTGCGGGAGAGTAAGCAGCAAACATTGAATGAATAAATTCGTTATACTATTATATTCTCTTCACACAAATATTTTATGAAAAACGTACCAGGGTATTGTTTATGTTTGATTTTGAAAGCCACCAATTTGTTTGATAAATATTAATAAATTGCATAGCAGCAGCGCAAGTGATAAAAAGGAACATCATTGATTCATTCAATAATTCAGAACTATTTGCAAACTCTGGGAAAGATATATATATATATATATATGCTACGGCATAGCCATGATGCTATGTGTAGAGCTATATTCTTCCTCTTTAGAATTGCCACGCATGACGTCACTAATACTTCACTTCAGGCTTTAATCCAAAGATACTCAGATGCAATCAGAGGCTTCTATAATTTTACGAAAAAAACTTCCAGGTAAAGTACAACTAGTAAACAAAATATGTGTACATTTGCTTGGTAAATGCAAAGATCTTAGTAAAAAATTAAATGGTAATGCTTTACAAAAAAAAACAGCTGAATAAATATGAACGCATAGACTACTTAAGCTCCAAAAGTGGATCTCAATATTTGGATTGTTGCCTTTTTGAGATTCAAGTGTGATTTTTTACTCGTAAAATCTTTCCTTCATGAATTTTTATTTTATTTAAAACCGCGAATGTATGAAGAGAATCTGAAATGAATTCAAATTTGACGGAATTTAAAAAATAGCAATGTGTAATAATTTCGGAATAGTCTACTTTGTTGATATCTTTTCTATAATGAAATTTCAGTTATAATTGTTCTTCCATAAGAAAATTTGTCACGTTAAAACCTCGAATCATGTCTGCGGAAAATGAAAACTTCTGCCAAACGTCTGTCGCAAAAAGTAAATGAGAACATAATTAATTAAAGATTTGAAATATATTTCACGACAATTAGACTTTTTTAATGTTTTTTTTTTAAAAGCTTATTTACGACTTTTTTTCTTCTGCTTACTTTGTGTGTGCAACTGAAATTCTCCCGAACTGAAAAATCTCTAAGTTTATGATGTCCAACACAACGCTCCTTGCCCCATTGATTCGAATGATGAATTAATTGCTATAACCAAGAGCCGCTCTAACAACTGAAGAAGGAAAACCAAATGTCAAGACTTTCGCAGACAAAGCCAATGAAAATATTTACCAAAGTCACTTCAAAACTCTGAATCTCGAAGATGCTTCCCTCGCACAGAATAATTTTCCAATAGTACCTCAACGAAGAGAAAAAAGCACATCTTCTTCTAGCGATGTTTCGGTCTCAATGCTTGATTTAGAAAAGCAAATATGGATAAATTTGGCGCCATTCATATACAATGTAGTTAATGTTATGCATTTTATTATACCTATAAGTAGATATAGTAAGAAACGAGTAATTATTTTTGCAAAGAAAATTTCTTTTTTTAAATTCCTCAACACCTTTAACTAAACTGAACATTTTTGATGGTATCTTTAAATTAAGTAATTAAAATGAGCTTCGTCTGCCGCCACTTGAAGCTTATTTTACACACTCACACTACACCTCACCTATATTGGGTTAGGTCATTAATAGGTTAATTAATTAGCAAATAGTCGCTGAAATAATCCCCTTGACATTAATTTGTGTGTTTATTAATAATCAACTAAGGATATAAACTGCTTTGCATTCATGACTTCGAAATTTTCAAAAGAGTCTGACGAGCTTTTTAAAAAATGAACTTGTTTTTATTAAAAACCAGGTAAATAGTGCACTGATAAAAAACAAGTTTTGGATTAGTTATAGTGTACGTTCATTCCATCAATTAACGTTCGTTAGTTTCCACTTTCGTTTGGTCGATTTTGTTATAGTCGTCATGAAAGGGGCTTCCGTACACGTTTTATCTTTGAACATGATCCACTGTTATAAGACCATAGAACTCCCTTTAAGCTCACCGTTAATATCAAGTACAGTTTTGTACACTCAATCAAATGGAGTTCGCGTAGAGTCAAAGATTATGATGGAAAGCTTCAATTTGTAAATATATCCCCTGCTAATGACAATAAATTAAAAACGGTTTGAAGGTGTGTATTTCCTTTTAGAAGCCTCCAATCTTTTTTAGAATTCTCTCCTCCTCAACGACTTCCTTCAGCGAACCAAAACAAAAGACTCCTCCCGCCATAAAAATTAACATTTAAAAAATGAAAAATAATAAATACACGTTAAGGAATAAAAGTTCAATCCAAAATCGTTTTATACCAGTAAACAATGTCCCTTAAACCATAACTTGTAACGCGACCGGGCGTTTTCGCGCTAGAGCGGTTGCTGACACTCTTTCTTCCTCTCTCTCTTACCCACCGCGCCGCATTACAAAATAAAAGGAAAATAATAAAAATTACATGTCGTCTGTCCGGTACGTCGTTCGTAAGTCTGTACGTTGTCCGTTGGCATCCGTCCACAGTCCACCTACCTTCCCTCACATGCACACGACACCGTACCCCGCCTCGGCGGTGGGGTATACCTACTTAGCCAATCATTTTCAGTAAAAAACACGCATAAGATAATAAAAAATGATACCTGTTCCACGTGCTGGATCTAGTGCAGTGCCGCTTCTGTGCGCTCACGGTTGCATCCCTCGTTGACCGTTGAGTGGCGTCGTTGGTTCCCCTCCCTCCGAAATCTCCTCGTGATGTAGCGGTGGTGTAGCTCGCTTGTTGTCGCTCTTATTCTTCACTTAAAATTTTTCCATAGAACACACACGGCATACAATAGAAACTCCACTTGACGGATTTGCATTGTCTTTCTGACGAATGCGCACTTTATTCATGTTCAAACGATACCAATCGTAACAAATTTTGTATAGTTAATTAAATTAATTCTTTAGCTTTACTTCATTATTCCTTTTTTTCCATTCTTTGCAATATTTTGTCCTATCTTATCATTACAAATTGACAATAAAATACAAAAGTGCTATACAAGTGTATTATCATAAAGTTGGTTTGAATTGTTTTATCATACTGTTTGCTTGAATTTTCTTCTCCGTTCTTTCTTTTTCACATTTATTTTAGACCGATTTGTATTTTCTTACTAGTAAATGCACACTTGTTCATGCATTACAATTTGACAATACAATCCAAGGGTTCCATACAATTCATACGGGCTGCTTGAATTTTCTCTTCCGTTCTTCTTGACATTTATTTTAGAACGATTTTGTATGTTTCCTTACTAGTAAAGGCACACTATATTCATGCTTTTTTTTCTTTGAGATCACGTTCACATATGGCTCCTCTAAAGTTAACAACCACTAGACCATTATTTATCTGGGCTATGAACATGCATATGGCGTTAAATAAAAAACTCGCACTTTCGCTTCTGTTTCTTTCCCTCTTACAGGCTCTCGTTTCCTTTTAAGCTGCCCATTAACATTTCCTTATTATTTTCATTATTTTTCTTTTTTTTTGTGGTTCTTGATTATTATCACAAAGATGCTTTTATGACATCACATAATAGAGACTTTATATTAAGAAAAGGAAACACAGGGTGCAAGCATGGCCAGCAAAATTTTCCATCGAACAGAATAACCTCAGGCTGCACTTTGGCTTGAACCGTAATTATACCTTCAAATATTTATAGTGGTTTGCGAGGAAAATGGTCGCTATTTTACAGTGTTTACAACTGTTTACAACTGCTTACAACTGTTTAAGACTGTTTAACTATATTTTATATAGTTTCGATCCGGAATTTCGCTATTTTAACAAAGTGTTTACAACTGCTTACAACTGTTTAAGACTGTTTAAGACTGTTTAATTACATTTTATATAACCAAGTGAAAAAGAATAACAAGCAAACCCATAAGAAAAAAGTGCATAAAACTTACTAGAAACCTTCTAGATCCCATACAATATTTTAAAACATTTATAAAAGTGCATAAAACTTACTACAAACCTTCTAGATCTCATTGTTACTGCGGTAAGTCCAAGTTCGATTTATTTAGCTAATTATCATATCATTTATTTTATTTTAATTTAAATACAAATAAATGAAATGTATAGAGTTACAATTAAATTTGAACAAAAAAAGGTTTTATATGCTAATTCGCGAATATTAATGAAATGTTCTTCTTCTATATGCTATATTTTTTTTATGTCTACATATTTTGATTGTGATCAGATCATATTTTTAATTATGTAGTTTTTTAACGGAACATTTAATAGTACAATGTAGCAAGGTGATATATATATATATATATATATATATATTCAAAAACACTTTAGAATACATTTGCATTGCATATGCCAGTTCGTTTGTTGAAACACATACGTACACTTTCGATATCAAAAGGCATAAATAATTTTTGTTTATTGATTTGTTTTTTTTTGTTTGTTACTTAAAAATGAGGCCTAACTAGATGTGACATGCATGTTGTTTTCGATTTTAAAAGCGATTTTAAAAGTTCTACGATTTTCCCATGAACTTTACTTACCACCCAAATTCTTATAAGGCTTTCCACCATGACGATTAAATTCGTGCTCCAAAATTTCAGCTCCACGTTTGCGTGTAAGACCAGTCTCTTCTAGACTTAATTCGCACATTTACATGTCATCGATACCTACAAATTGGTTACTGGTTAACAAAAAATACTTTCAAACAGTTTAAATTTTCCATTTATATGCTCCTTACGATCTGTTGAACACGCTGCACTTCTTGGGCTTTGCGACGCGTTTCGATTTCAGCTTTACTATTAAAGAAAACGACCAACTTTCATTTCGCCACATATACATTCTTATTTTTTAGAAAAATTTTACTAACATTCGTTTAGTTTCTTGCTCTTCACGTTGTCGAAGCTCTTCTTCTTCCTTAGCACGTCTGTCCGCTTCTAAAGTTTCTAAAAGGAAAATTTGAATTTTTTAGCTTTGCCGAAAGAAATACCTTAAGGTCAATTCGTGGTGTAAAGAGCATCATTTCTCTTGTTGTTATTTTTGAATTTCTCTAATTGATACATAAAGGAAGTATTGCAAAATAATGATATGGACAAATTCCTTATTTCTATATATATACAGCTATACCTTTATTTGATTTATGACTTCATCGATTTGTCGGTTGATATCGTTCACTTTCTCGATTATATCTTCACGGCCTTTCTTTAAGCAGGCGGCTGTTTCTACGGTTTTCTGAGCATTATGCCGTATTTTATTGATCTTCGATATCCCTTCATAACGTGGACGATGTTGCTTTCGGGCCAAATAACCGCGTACATAGGTTTGTATCATTAGTACACATTTATTTCGATATTTGATACGATTATGTACTAAAAACAACAAGAAAAAAAAATTGTTAATTATTAACGAACATATAAATCAATTTTATTCTACCTTGTGTGCGACAAAGGGCATGAAAGATTCGTGAAAAAAGCTTTTAATTGAAATAAGTAAATATAAAAAAAAAAAACTTTATGTTAATTGAATGTTTGAAATAAAACAAAAAAAAAAAAAGGAATATAGTTATATGTAATATGTATATATCTGATATATTTTTGTGTACAAATTGATCCATAATTTGGCAACGACCATTTACCACTTTAATAAAACAATTTGATTAATATATTTCAACTTTAAAATAAATGGCTTTTACTGTTTGTTTTTCATAACATATAAAAAAGAAATGTATACTATTGGCAAATAAACATAATTTAGATAAATAACTTTAAAATTTAAAAGAAACAATTATTATTTGCCATTTGTGCTTGTTTCTCTTTTTTTGTATTTGAATGCTTACAAGTAAATCAACGACGGTGAATTTTCCTCAATTGTAAACAAATTCGGACGGGCTCTTTGAATTACTCTCAGATGCAGCCAATTTGGGACGGGTTCTTTTAGTTAAGCTTAATTGTAGATTGTTAAAGTAATAGTGATGCCATAAGAAATCCACGTTTCGGTTCTACTCTTGATCATTGTTGCAGCAAAGTCAAATTCTTGCGGTTTTCTTTTGCTTTTGGTAAAACTTCTTTTCACACGTTTCACGGCTTTATTTTCACAATTTGAATTTATATAACATATTCTAAATTCTTTAGATTAGTTTTCTTCAAAAATATATTTCAGTATTCTT